CACAGGGCAGGGTAGAACGTCCCTTTCTGAGACTGTAACTCAATGGGAGTAGAAAACCCAATCTTTCTCCCATGGAGTGGCTGACGGTTTTGAACTGCTGGCCTTGTTGTTAGTAGCCAAGGTTCCCTGACTAATAAGAGCAATGAACACCTGAAGGGACTGGCCCAGACTTGATTGATCCAAATACATTTCTACACTTTTTCCCAACATACTAAACCCTTGAAATTTGCCAGATATTGGGGAGTCAGAGACCTGAATGCAATCTAAGACGAGCTCTGTCTCTGATCTTGGACAAATAACTGAATTTCAGCTCTATCCCTTAACTCCGTTTTCTTCTGAGAAGGGGAGTGGTTAGAATTTGGGATGTCTACATCCCTTCCAAAAGGAGCCCTGCTGTTGCAGTGGGTTACACATCGGGCTGCTAACCACAAGGCTAGCCACTGTCGTGGGGAAAGATGAGGCTGTCTACTCCATACAGATTTACAGTCTTGGAAACCCTACCGAGCTTTTCTACTCCAGCTCTAAGGAATGACAGACCCATCTTGTGCAGCTGCTGACCCAAGTTAGTGTCTGACTCAGCTCTTCTAGGCTAAGCCTGTGGGCCACCTGTCTCTCTCTAAATAGAATGATCAAAGTGGAACAAAGGTAAATCCCACTTGGGCCTCCCCAGCGCCAGCTGGCTATGTGTGCCACCAGCTGCCACCCGAAGGGAAAGTTCACAGGCTAAGACTCATTTTTGCCAGGCGCCACAGAGACTTAGCTAACTGCCAGCACCCACTTTCCTTGCTAGCTTCCTTTCCTTCATATCGGGGGCCTGGTTCCCCTTTGTCCTCATTTATTAAGCTGTCTGTAGACCTGGATTTCTGAGCCATCCCAGAACTTCCTCACACATAACAAGACAGTTGTCTTCTATCTGCCCTCGAATTGTGAGACATGGCTCCTTTGAACAAAGTCACCTCTAACCTGGCAGTCCAGGCAAAGGGGAGTAGTGGTAAGGCTGATTGTGCTGGTTTCCCCTCCCCATACCTCACAATGACTCGTGAGAAGGCAGCTGGGGCCCAGGTGGTGAGGCACCTCACCACCAGGGGGTGGTGTTTCTCCACTCAGCTGCTCATGTCCAACTGCACAAAGCACATTTTATGGGAGGATAGTTAGTGCTCACTGTGAGGATGACCTCAAAATTTTAATACTAATTACCTCTTTTATGCGGCATTCCTCAGATCACATTACATTAACCTGTTTCCTTCAGTATCAGAGCTAAACTGGCAGTGCCAAGATTCTAACGCACTGCCTTTCTACACCAGAAAAGTGGTTAAATGAAAAACCAAACTCACTACCATCAAGTCAATCCCAGTTCAGTGTCTGAGGCTATAAATCTTTACAGGCCTTGCTCATATTTCTCCTGAGGAGCAGCTGGTGGGTTTGAACTACCAACCTTGTGGTCAGCAGTCCAACAGCAAACAACACATCCTATATAATAACTCCAGAAGGTTAGGATTCAGGAATTATTTATTCAGCTGTCAATGACTGGCCTGACAAGCCAGCGCTTCTTCAAATGCCCTTTAGGTACATGCTCCTGGGGATCTTGTTAAAAGTCCAAATTCTGGCTGGGTCAGTCTGGACTGGGGCTTGTGAGTTGGCATTCCTAACAAGCCCCCAGACACTGCTGGCCCATGCTTAGAAAAGCAAGCATCATTTGATCATCCCTATGCTTCTTCGTACCTCCCCATCAGTTTGTAACCCAGGTGTTATGGAAGTTCAATTTTTCCTTATCCTGATGAAGGATCCAAAGTCATTGTAGAGTTAAAGCCCCGACTACTCAGTGACCCCCTTTTAATACATTGATCTGCATTAAAAAAAAAAAAAAAGCATGTGGTGAGTTACGTGAAGGTTCACAGAGCAGACGCTCAGTTAAACACTTAACTACTCAGTATGTACCGTTTCACCCCCTCCATTGCAATGTACCATCTGTGGATGATTACTTATCCCACTTCCCTGTGTTTCCTTTTTCTGTACCTCCTCCTTTTCCTGACCCTCTGACTTTGACCTTGGGTACCTCTAGTCTCCCGACCTCTGCATACTGTACCTCTGATCTTAAATGGTGGGTTGGTCTGTCAAAGAGGTGGGTTTAGTTCCCAACCTGAAGGGTAACTGAGGGCCCACCTGTCTCTCTTGGACTAGGAGATCTCTTGTATGGTTTTGAGTTTGGTTCCAGTTTCCCCCTTGACCTTGACCTGTATTTGTACTGCAGTTTGGGGTTGCCATCTGGCCTTCCTGCTGAGTGCTGGTCCCTGTGTTCTCTTGAAGGTACCCCCGGCTGCACAGCATGGTCATCCGCTGCTACCTGCTCATCCAGCAGTACTCGGAGGCGCTGATGGCTCTCACCATCATGGCGTCCCTCCGAGACCACAGCACCCCGGAGACACTCAGCATTATGGATGACCTCATCAGCTCCCCGGGGAAAAACAAGAGTGGGAGGGGGCACATGCTTATCATCAGGGTGCCCTCGGTGCAGCTGGCGATGCTGGCCAAGGAGCGGCTGCAGGAGGTGCGCGACAAGCTGGGGCTGCAGTACCGCTTTGAGATCATCCTGGGGAACCCGGTCTCTGAACTCAGCGTTGCAGCTCATTTTGTGGCACGATTAAAGGTGAGTCAAGGGCAGACATTCCTCCTTCACAATCCCAGTTGTCTCTCTTGCCTAGGGACCTGCCATAGGTGCTTCAGGCACCAGGTGAGGTAACAGGTTTTTGCCCATGTGTGTTTGATCTCCCTGACCATCGGTCTTCAGGCTAAACTCAGGGCGACACTCACCATCTTAATGGGAATCCGTTTGTAGAGATTCTATCCAGTCCCTCGCTAGCGTGTGCCTGCAGTTGGTCTTCGGTACGCTCTAGCTGCAGCTGAGAAAATGACATGACCCAATTTGACCCCAAGTTAAGTGGCTTTACTCATGATACAACTTGCCTTAAAGTATCCTCAATTCATTAATTCTTTTCTGTCCATCTAGCCTATCTGTCAGCTCATGTCTAAAATCGGTAAAGTATTCTGTTTGATCTTAGTCCGCGTGTCCAACGGTTCCCAGCATGTGGATGGTTCACCAATCTGTTCTTCCTTTGGCGTTGTGTTGGCACACGGCCTCAAGGCTTTGGCTAGCCCAGGGCTCCTCCAGGCCTCCAGTCCAGGTCTCCCCTGCATGGTCAAAGCCCTCACTGCTCCCTTTGCCCTGCCAGTGACAGACTGCTTCCACACAGCCCTCCTAGTAGGCATGGACAGGGAGGAGAACCCCTAACGCCACTAACCCGACGGCCTCCCCTGTACCCTGCTCAGCCGTTTCATTTTGGTTTGTCGTTCTGCAGACCTTTATAATCTCAGTCCTCACCATTCGAAAGCATTGGCTCAAATCCTAGCACACAAGTCAAGGAATGAGCTAGGTACGCTACCTCGGAGTTCAAACCAAGATAGTGTCTGCATCCTGTGCGTTAAATCGTGAGCTGATTGGGTTTTTTAAAGTCTAGTTCTGCACACATTGTACAAAAAGAAAGCATGTCATCTTATGGGAAATTGCATTTTCCCCCTGGGCTGCAGGTTCTCATCTGCACACTAAGGGGCTGGATCATATGATCTCAGAGAGCTCTGACAAACAGTGGTTTTGAATTGCTGACCGCTCAGGACGCATTTTGTAACGGTAGACCTTTGTACTGCACTCTCTCAGCTGACCTAAATTGAATGGTCTGAAGAGCAAACAAAGTGTCTTGCCCAGTAAGCCACCAGAATAAATGTGTCCAAAAGTAAAACTTTCATATTGCTAGATAATAAAGCACTTATATTTTATATATGCAAGAGTGCTTCAGAAAGTTCATGGGAAGACAGAATTAAAAGATAAAGGCATTTTCCCACAAACTTTTCGAAGCCCCTTCATGTATCTTGATATGAGTATGTTCACAATTTAAAATTTTAGTCGTATCACACTGCAGTGGAATTCTTAGGATAAGTAATAAATATAACCCTGAAGTGTTTTTCATAGTATAGCGCCTCAGGACTTGGGGTGTGAAATGATTTGAATAATGCTAATAACTGAGGAAGGAGCCCCTGGTGACAGCGATGATCAAGAGCTTGGCCCCTAATGGCAAGATCAGAGGTTTGAATCCACCAGCTAGCTGCTCCACAGGAAAAAACAAAACAAGGTAGTCTGCTTCCAAAAAAGGTTACAGCCTAGGAACTCTATAGGGCAGGTCTACTGTGCCCTCCCTGTGAGGTCACTAGGAGTTGGAATCAACTTGACCGCAATTACCAACAGATGAAGCATTGGAAAAAAGCAAATAATCAGGACCGCTATGAGTCACAATGAATTCGTGCTCCTATCAATCTTAACAAATCATTGACTACCCCTTGGGCCATAGGTTGGAAACCAGAATCAAGCCTTAGGTTCTTAACCTAAATCACCTGCAAAAAACAAACCGCCACTGAGTCAGTTCTGACTCCTGGGGACCCGATAGGACAGTGGTTCTCAACTTCCCTAATGCCGCGACCCTTTAAAACAGTTCCTCATGTTGTGGTGACCCCCAGCCATAAAATTATTTTCGTTGCCACTTCATAATTGTAATTTTGCTATTGTTATGAATTGGGCGAGCCCTGTGAAAGGGTCATTCAACACCCCCAAGGGGGTCTTGACCCATAAGTTGAGAACTGCTGCTATTTGGTAGAAATGCCCCCTGTGAGTTTCTGAAGCTGTTGCAACTCCTTACAAGAGTAAAAAGCCTCATCTTTCGCTTGAGGAGCAGCTGGTGGTTTCAAACTGCCGTCCTCATGGTTAGTAGCCCAACACGTAACTACTAGTCCACCAGGGGTCCTGCAGGGCATTAAAAAAGCAATTGGTCCACACAGGTTCAGAGCATTTCTTAAGTCCCGACTCAGAGTTAGAGTGAAAGAGGTCTCAAGTGAATGGTTTTCAAAGCAGCTATGTCTCATTTCACATTTACAAGTTTAACTAGATCCTCGGGTGCACTATATATAAGTAAGACTCCCCTGGGGCTTGTTACGATGGAGATTCCAGTCCAGTACTCCTGGGGGATGGAAATGCAGCTTCTCATCGTGCACTCAAACCAAAGCGTCAGCTTCAAGGCCTGAGTGCGAGCCCATCATGATAGCCCAGCCGCATTTCCTACTAATGGGACCATGCTCCACGGATGGTTTGTGGAAGTTACAATACATCCAGGGAGACTTCATACATCAGGGATATCAAGAGTCCAAGGTGCAGGCTATAAGTAATTTAACTCGTTTCCCACAACTGTTTACTTTAAAGCAGGTAGTGTTATGGTTGTCTTTGAAATGAAAATAAATTGAAAAGTTGAATTTTTATAAACATTGTGTCTTTGAAACGAAAATAAATTGAAGAGTTGAATTTTTATAAACAATCTCACTTGCAGTTTTAAAAAAATCTGAGTTTTTAAGATTGACATTCCACTTATTAAGAATGAACACGTGTGTGTTTATGCACACACAAATAAGAAATTGATGTTTAATGGATTATTTGTTAAACCAATGCACACACAGATAAGAAATTGATGTTTAATGGATTATTTGTTAAACCAAAGAGTATTTGTTTTTGAAACCAAAAGCATTACTCCTCTAAATAAGGAGCAGTTGTTTCCTTAGTTCCAATTTGGTTATGTTTTGTCTTCTTGAAAAACGACTCTTTGGAAGCCCTAAGGCAGTAGGTACTAGAGTTGGTTATTTTTAAAGTCGATAAAGGGAGACATAAAAAAAAAAAAAAGTATTAAATACATTGAGGTAGTTATCCGGGCCAGCCTTCATGATTTTCTTGGTGAAAGTGTCCGTTTCGATGGAGTTTTAAGTCTTTTCTGAGTCCCTCACAACTGAAGCTCTTTGTCATCAACCCCAAGGGTGTGTTGATTAATGTGAAAGATACATGCAGTGCTTGTGTCAGGTAGTTTAGCCAGGAATCTATAGTGGGTGTGTGCATCATCGACATTGTATCTGTCTTTGGCCTAGATGCATGATATCCACCCAGATCTGCTACTGTATCCCACTGTGATGGAAACTACAGGCCACAGTCTTCCTTTGTGGATCCTTGTTCCCCCAAAGCCACCCAGGCCTACTGCCATCAAGTCAATCCTAACTCTTAATGACCCTCTATAACAGTGGTTCTCAACCTGTGGGTCGCGACCCCTTTGGAGGTCAAATGACCCTTTCACAGGGGTTGCCCGATTTAGCAAAATTAGTTTTGAAGTAGCAATGAAAGTAATGTTATGGTTGGGAGGAGTCACCACAACATGAGGAACTGTATTAAAGGATTGTGACATTAGAAAGGTTGAGAACCACTGCTGCTCTATAGGGTTTCTGAGGTGGTAAATCTTTGGGGGAGCAAACAGCCTCATCTTTCTCCCTCAGAGTGTCTGATGGGTTCAAACTGCTGACCGTTAGGTTAGCAGTCTCTTAATAACCAGGCAACACCACCAGGGCATATCAATTAGTGACATTTATTTGGAAACACGATGGTTTCTTTTAAAAAATGCATTTGAGGGAACTTTAAAGGATTTTCACGTCACCCTCTGGGTCTCTTTCTACAGACTTGGAGAGGAAATGAACAAGAGGAGTGGGTTCCTCGGACGTACCAGGATTTAGAAGGTCTGCCTTGTATTGTGATATTAACCGGCAAAGACCCTCTTGGAGAAACCTTCCCCAGGTACACTGTTTGAGTAATTGGTTCTCACTTGTTATTGCTAGCCCCGCTGAGCCAGTGGTTGAAACGGTGCTGTCACTTGGGCATGCTATTTGTTTGCTAAATGCTGAGAACTGTTTCATGCAGAGATGTGAGGAAGGCTGTTAGTTGCCAATTCTGAGTCCCACTGCACCCGGGCTTGGCTTCAGAGGTGCCTCTCAGTGGTTTTGAACCTCCAACCTTTTCAGCTACTAATCTAGCACTTCACGTGCACTACCCAAGGACTCCATAAAAAGTGTAGCCTTCCTTGATTCTACTCCTTTCCCTTTCCAGAGATCGCCCAGCAATTTTTAGAATAAAAGCTCCCCAGAAAGCAAGGGAGGAAAAGTAGCTGCCCCAAACCAGCACTTGTTTTTCAGATGAAATGCTGTGCCATCGCTAATCGAGGGCTCCCTCGGCCCTCAGGGAGGCGTCAACAACAGCAATACTCGTCTTAGCAGCAGTTGAGCACATGCTGTGTGGCAGGCATTGTCCGAAATACCCTGCACCCCCTGTGTCAGCCATCCTTGATAGCCCCATGCCCCAGACACGGCTAATCAGTCTCTCGTACTTGGAGCAAACGAAGCACAGACAGGTTCGGTGACTCACCTGAGGTCTTATCAGCGAAGACGTGGCAGAGCTGAGGTCCGCCATCCAGGATGGCCTGGCACAGAGACCCACGATTTTGACGGCTCCATGAGACATTCAGAAACTTGGGAAAACGTGAGTACTTTGTGGACAGCCACAAGGGATCTCAAAAACCAGGCCTACTTTTGTACAGGTCTTTGAAGTACTGTGACCTCCGCTTAATCGACTCGAGCTACTTAACTCGCACTGCCTTGGAGCAGGAGGTGGGTTTGGCGTGCTGCTATGTCTCGAAAGAAGTCATTCGGGGGCCCGCGGTTGCCCTGGACCTCAGTGGGAAAGAGCAGGAGAGAGCCACGGTCAGCGAGAATGACCCGGACGAGCTGCTGATTGACTTGGAAAGGCCCCAGAGCAACAGCAGTGCCGTCACGGGAACCTCAGGTCAGTACTTGCCGTCCTCTTTCGAGACACAAAAGGATCTTGTTATACGAGCTGTAAGAGCCCCAGTGAAATAATTAAAATGAAAGTAAGTGAAACAAAACCAAAAAAAAGCGGTAGCACTCCACAGCCCTTAAACAAACAAAGAAAAGACAAGGGACGGGAGTGAGGAAGCCAGAGGCTGTTCCTGAGAAGCATATGGGCTTCAGTGTAGCATGCAGCAACTGGACCTCCCTGCCAGGAGGGAGACTTGGAAGCATGACTGTTGAACAGACACACATTTCTCCTTACACATCCACAGAGCTTGGGAAGGGGCTAGATCGCTTACGTAGGTAGTGCGCCAGTGTAGCCTGCACCGTTCCCAGTCTCTGCCACCCTTCATCAGCTCACGATGATTATGCATCTGATGTTTGCTCGAAGGCCCTCGTGTAATTGTAAGTCTGTGCTGTTAAGTTCAATACTTGGCACCAAATGAATGAGCGACTTCTTCGAATGCTTAATGGTAAATGTTTACATCCTGACCACTGCTCTGGGCTGCTCACTGGTATCCAGAGCCACTGTGCTTTGGCTGTCTCCAGCTGCCAAAGTATTCAGACTCATGAACTCCGGAGGTCGGGCCTGTGAGGGGAAGGCAGGGCTCAGAAAAAAAGGGATACACAAAAGTCAGGTGAGCCAGAGGAGTGATTTGGATTTAACAGCGTCCAGTTAATACGCCCTGGTGATGGTGGTGTTGTGTAAGTGTTGGGCTGCTAACCTCCAGGTTGGCAGTTCAAACCCACCAGCCACTCCATGAGAGAAAGAGGAGTCTGCTGTAGTAATGATTCCGTGTCAGAAACCCTAAGGACCACGTCTGTCTACTCCATAACACAGACTCTATGGCAGAGGCGGTGGTAGTTACTGGCTATTCATTCAGGATCGCCGAGGTTGGGACTCACCTGGCAAGCGCCAGTGGCAGCTCACACCGGACCCTCAGTCGTGAACAGGTTGGGCTTTGGTTTGCCCTCAACGTGCTGAGGAGCAACAGTATTTGAAGTGCACTGACCCAATGTGAGGAGCTACTTCGGGGAGAGTAGCGCCTCCTGTGGGATGGACTGGGCCTCCCCGTCCTGTGGGGAGCTGGGGGTTCAGGGCGACTGCAGCTGCACACCAGTGCCCTTGAGCAGAACCTATGTGGACTCCTGCTTTGCAACCACTGGCTGAGGTTAGTAAGGAGACAAGAGCAAGATTTTGAAAAGGAATGGCATCTAGTTAACCATCGTAGGCCCTGATGACTCCTGAACCTGAAGCAGCAGTTACTGGAACCCAGGGAAACCCCCCAGGCCCTCCCCCACCCTGTGCTGTGGCCCTCAGTAGCTAAACAGTGACCCTTCAGGGAGGGAGCCAGGGAACAACCCTGATTCGCTGGTCATTCATTAGCCAGACTGGCTCAGGAACCTGGGCAGGGGCACCAGAGAAGCGTGGCACCTTGGGTGCATGGAAGGACTGAGGCAGAGGCTTTTCAGCCCTCAGCACAGATGGGGCCTTGCCGGGCTTGCCCTCCTTCCCTCCGTCCACCGAGTGCCAGAAGCCCGGAAGCAGCACACCTTAGCATCGTTGGTAACACAGTGGACTTGGGCCGGGCCCTGTCCGTCCATCCTCTTCCAGGTTCCATCATGGAGAATGGGGTGAGCTCTTCCAGCACGGCTGCTGACAAGTCCCAGAAGCAGCCAGCAAAGCCCAGCTTCCAGAGCGCAGTTTCCAGTGCAGGGCTGGACGAAGGGGTCTCTCCCAGAATCCTGATGTCTGGAGAGCCCCTGAAACAGGAGTGCGACTCGCTGGGCCAACATGTGGCCAGCAGCACGACCCCCAAGCCTTCCTCTTCCTCATCTGGACCTCGGACCCTCCCGTGGCCTGGACAGCCTGCCAGAGGCTGCAGGGGCCTGCCAACAGCTCTGCCCCCCATCGTCATCCTGTCCAAAGCGGCCTACAGCCTCCTGGGCCCGCAGAAGGGCGGCAAGCTTCCCGCTGCCTCTGCCCTGCTGCCCCACGCCGACGTGGCCTGGGTGAGCTCCCTGCGGCCGCTCCTGCATAAAGACATGAGCAGCGAGGAGCAGTCCCTCTACTACCGCCAGTGGACGTCTGCACGCCAGCACCATGCCGACTTCAGTAACCAGCCCGACCCGGCCACCGGCACCAGGAATGTGCACCCACGGCGGCTACTGCTGACTGGGCCCCCCCAGGTAGGGCTACCGAAGAGATGTGAAATCTCTTTTCCCTCTCCCCTTTTGCTCTTCCTCTGCCCTCCCCAATTAAAACTATCTCCCTCAGGTGGGAAAGACAGGCTCCTACTTACAGTTCCTTAGGATCCTCTTCCGCATGCTCATCAGGCTTCTGGAGGTGGACGTGTATGATGAGGAGGAGATCAACACTGGTGAGTGCTGGCCCAGGGCGGGGCCACCGAACCTCCAAGCCCATAGCTTTCCTGCAGCACCTACCTTGAGGGTTGAAGATACCATGCCAAGCCAAGAGGGCCCAGTGTGCTGGCTGGGGCAGTGTTTTAGCTCCTCGAGGTCGGGATGGCTGTGCCCAGCACAGCGCCGGCTAAGCGCATGGTCTGCAGGTTAAACCCAGGCGACTGAAGCGCGCTTGTTGTGGCAGTCTGCTGTTTTCAGGGTTCCGGGTGTAGTTTCTTTTCTGAAGGCCAGTCTTTGGTGGTTAACCAGAGCACATCTCACATTTTAACCACAGGCTCGTATTAGGATTATCTTCATTTCATAATGAGATGAAACTTCCTGAGTGGACCAGAACACTCCACTGCAGAAGACCAAAAAACAAGCCCTTTATATGCATGAGCTACAGGGGAAGCCTGGGGGGTGGGGGTGGGGGAGAACTGTCTAGTCTCAACTTCAGAAGTTTCCAGCCATACACCCCCTCCCACCCTCTCCTCTCTAGTTGTTGACTATTAGGTAGTAGATTCCATCCTGCAGCCAGGTGACCCGAAAGTGGGCATGAGCAGGATGCAGCCATCAGTACTTGGTGGCTCATGGTGCTGTGGCCTTAAAACTCTTAGTGTCACCTGGAGGAGTCATTGGGGGTGAGGGGCAGGGAGTGATCTGGGAGAAATACTACTTCCTAACCCCCTCAAAGATGAGTCCAGAGCAAGAAGAGCTCATGGCATCTTCTCCAGCTACTTAGCCCTTGGAGAGCTCGTGTCTCTTATTAAACCAATCCTCCACCAGCCTAACTGACTCAGCTTCTCGGGACCATTGAGTGGATTCTGACTCAAAGCAACCCTATAGGACAGAGTAGAATGTCCCTGTGGGTTTCTGAGACTATAAATCTTTATGGGAGTAGAAAGCTTCATCTTTCTCCTGTAGCTGGTGGCTGTTGGTTTTGAACCAGCGACCTTCTATTAGCAGCCCACACAAAACCCACTACTCCAAAACAAGACTAGGTTAAACTAGCCAATCGGTCCTTTTACTCTGGCTTCCAGCCTTATTCCTGTTCCGCAGTAATAAACAGCCAGGATTTCTTGCTCTTTCTATCATCATCCTCCGCACATCTCCTTGCATGTGTCTAGAGCTAAGCTGTGCAGGACCATGCTCACCACACGGGAACCAGAGCTCCAGGTGAGCCTTGAAGCAGGCCTGGTCTCCTGGGCCAGGAGGGCAAACCAGAGACAAACAAACCAGGAAAGGGAGCTGCCAGTCGTCAGCTTTCCCACCCGGCTCCCCAGACCCTAAAGAATGATGGCTTTCATGATGTCCTCAGAGCAGGCTGCCATGATTTTGAATCATAACTGTGCCGTGGGTCTGCCCACAACCAATCCGAGAGAAGAGTCCTCCTGGCCAGGAGCTGTTAGTTTAGCTTTATTTCTTCTCCCTCATCCTCTTGCCCATCCATGACTGCAGGAGTGCTCCAGAGAGCCGCCAAGATACCTCTCCGCAAACCCCAAACACTAGAATCAACGTTAAAGCTTACACACAACGTGAACTTTGGTTCAGGGATATAGAAATAAACATTCCTATTTGTGCTAAAAAGATAATGGTTATACCTCCAGCTTTGGGGGGCTTATTGGGGGGGTGTAACTTTTTTTTACTTCCTATTTGACCTTTGAAAATTGTCTTCAGCTACTTTTTGATCTTAGAAATAGCACTGCCATCTATTGAACACCTGACATGTGGCTGACAGACACTGTCTTAGCATTTGTGGCAGGCCTTACAACTATCAGCAAACTCAGGTGTTGCAAGTAAGGTAACTAAAAAGGAAACATGCAGGCCGAACCAGCATTCAGAACCAGGTCTCGTGGCTCTCAGAACAGCGGTTCTCAACTGGTACTGCGTATTTGAACGAGCTGCTCCTGTAAAGATTGCCAACTGGAAAATGCTGTGGAGCAGTGTGACTGCCACACAAGGCCTAGAGGAATGGAAGCCTGACTCACTGATGTCCCCTAAGAACAACACAAGATTTAAGTAGTAATACTGATGCCTGGGCCCCACCCATGGAGATGGATTTAGTTCCTCTGGGATGAGGGAACTGGGCACTGGAAGTCTGACAAGCTCCCTGGGTGCTTGTTGTGCACAGCACAGCTTGAGAATCTTGCTACTTTGTAACCTTAAGACTGTCTGTATCTAAATCTAACCCACATTAAGATCAAAACAGTTTAACTTCCATTAACCAAAACCCCAAACTCAAACTCACCTAGTGCATGCCAACTCATAGTGACCCTGTAGAACAGGGTAGAACCGCCCCTGTGAGTTTCGGAGACTGAAACTGTTTATGAGAGTAGAAAGCCCATCTTTCTCCTGAGGAGAAGCTGGTGGTTTTGAACTGCTGGCCTTGCAGTTAGTGGCCCAACTTGTAACTTCTGTGTCACCAGGGTTCCTTAAGATGACTAAGATTTTGAAAAATTAAAATATAATGAGGATGTGGGGAAATTGCAACCTGTACTGTTGCTGGTGGGAATGCAGAATGGTATAGCTATGGCGGCAGTTCCTGAAAAAACTGAAAATAAACCTTTAAAAAAAACCGTGAAAATGACACCAGCATGTACACTAGTGTTCCTTGCAGCACTGACTTGCCCTCAAGTCAATTCTAACCCATAGAGATCCTGTCTAGGGTTTCTGAGTGCAGAACTTCATAGGAGGAGATCGCCTCATCTTTCTCCCTCAAGGTGGCGGGTGGGTCTGACCCGCTGACCTTGCAGCCAGCAGCCCAACACCCAACGCATATTACCACTAGGACTCCTAGAACACCATATGACCCAGCGAGTCCACTGCTGGGAATAAACCCAGGGCACTCGAAAACAGTGGCACAAATTACCTGTCTTCATTGCAACATGGTTCACATTGGGGGGGGGGGGACCCTTTACATACTCATCAACAAATAAATAGACAAAATGTGCTAAGTACAAACAATGGAATGCCAGTCAGCCAGAAAGAGATGAAGTTTTGATGCATGCTATAGCGCAAAGATAGAGTATGAAGAGATTATGCCGAGTAAGAAATATCAATCACAAATCCTGTATGCCCTGACTTATAGAAACAGGCAAGCGTTTAGAAGCCAAAGTATACCAGTGGTTGCCAAAGGTGGGGATGGAGGGAAAAGGAGAAGGGTATGCTTAGAGAGCACTGAATTTCTGTTTATGGTAGTGGAATTTGGCTTCTTTATTTGGTGGTTTAAGGACATCCCAGTTGTTTGGTTTAACACTACCACATTTATTGATTCTGTTCTGTTCTACTTCTAGTTTACTGCAAAGTGCTGAGGGGTCTTAAACACTTCAAAGAGGTCATCCAAATGATAGCAACTGATCTCTAGTCACCTGGACTGGAAGAAGAGTTAGGGACAGAGGGGTGGCATGGAATGTGTGGTTAATTACTTCCATGAACAACTGCCTCCTTTGCCATGAGATCAGAAGAACTAGATAGTGTCCAGCTACTATTACTGAAGATGTTAATGAAGGATTCAGTAAAGGAATCCTGATCTCTTTTTTTTTAGTTGTAGTTCTTTTTTTTCTCTTTTTTTAAAAAATACTTTTATTGGGGGCTTTTACATCTTTTATCACAATCCTTACATTCCTCCAATGTGTCAAGTAATTTGCACATATGCCGCCATCATTTTCAAAGCATTCTCTTCCACTTGAGCCCCTGATAACAGCTCCCCATTTCTAACCCCCTACACACCCTCCCTCCCGAACCTTTGATAAGTTATAGATTATTTTTTCCATATCTTACATACATCTTCTGTTGCCCCTAACCCACTTTTCTGTTTTTCTTCCCCCTGGGATGGGGTTCTAGGTTGATCCTTGTGAGAATCCTGATCTTAATAGGGAAAATGGACAACAGAATTTCAAATTATCATGGAATCTATCGTTTTGGAGTCATTGGGACTATAGACGCCCATGCTGACTGTCCTGAGATAACCTTTAAACAAAAAATTCTCAAATCATCTTTAAGCCTAGCTAACCAACTGCTGTTGAGCTTATTCTAATAGTGAGTTACAGAACAAAGAACAATATGCCCCATAGCATATCCAAGGCTGTAATCTTTATGGATGTAGGCTGCCATAGCAGTCTCCCACAGAGCAGCTGGTAGATTTCAAATGTAAACCAGTGATTGAGCTCCTAATGTACTCTGCTGGCAGCACGCCTCACAATAAGCAACAGTTTAGCTTAATGAGTCAGCAGTGCCTGTGTTGAGCATTACGCTCTTTCGAGAACTATAGGGATCACATTGATGACAGCAACTCAAAAGACAAGAAACTTCGGGGCTAGAGGGTTTATGTTCATGGAGGCGGAGCCATTCCATAAAAGAGGGTAAGAATGGTAGCCCAACCCAAAGAATGTAATCCAGATCACTGAACTGTACATGCAGAAACTTTTGAACTGATGCACGATCTCCTGTGTATATTCCCAACAAGGAAGAGGAAGGCAAAGGGACACCTGACCCAGAAAGAGAGAGTGTGACCAATGAGGCAGGATAATAGACTTCACTGCTCTGAAGATGGGGACAGGAGGTCAAGGAACTTCAAGGAAAGCCACTCTAGAAGCTAGAAGAGACAAATGAAGCATTCTCTGGACCACTGCCGGGGAGTGTGGCCCGATTGACACCACGATTTCAGCCCAAACTTTTGGATTTCTGACGTCTAGAACCTTCAGAGGAAGTATTTTGTTTCACACAAACAAAAAACCCCCATGACTAAAATAATTAAGATTATAAAAAATTAGACAAATAGCTAAGGAAATTGGGGTGTGGCAGGGGAGATTCGGTGGACTGCAGATGTGGGAGTTTGTGAAGTGGGTCTGTGAAGAGGATGCCTGGATATTGGTCAGGCACGAGTCTGAAATTGTCAAAATCCTGAGTCCTTCGACCCTGGGTCAGAAATCCCTTTGTCCACCCACTCTGGAGTGGACGCCTCAGGCTTCTCCTCGCTGACACGCAGGACAGTGTGAGAGGAAGGTCAGGCTGCCTGCTGCACACGCCTTCTTCTCGCCCTAGGTCCGAGTGAGAGCAGTGACAGTCAGGCCCCGGGAGAGCCCTGGCCTGACATCGAGAGCTTCAGCAAAATGCCTTTTGACGTCAGCGTGCACGATGCCAAGTACAGTTCGATGAGCCTGGTATATACTGAGAAGCTGGCAGGAGTCAAACAAGGTAAGTGCTGGTGGAGCTAGGCTTTGCTCCTCTCAAGGTCAGGGGCAACCCTAAATAGGGTGCGAGGAGGCCCAAGGCAGTGTCATCTTTGAGAGCAGCTTAAGTCATTCTGTTTTCTGTCTTTTTCCTCCCTTTTAAATACATTTTTCACTTTCAAGTCAACCTAAAGATCATGTTTTCTTTGCCCCTTTATACACAGAAGAACTAAAGGAATCCAAAGTGGAGGAATCGAGGAAACGAGAAACCGTGTCCATGATGCTGACAAAATATGCGGCCTACAACACCTTCCACCACTGTGAGCAGTGCCATCAGTACATGGACTTCACCGCGGCCTCCCAGGTACCGCACCCGTACCGGCCTTGGCCTCTGGGGCCCACAGTGGACATTCTGTGTAAGGGAGGGCAAAGGAAGCTCCTAGCTTCAGGCGTAGGTAAAGACTCTCCTCACTTGAGAGAGGGAGCCGTGCAGGGAGCCAGCCAGGAAGGCAGGAAGCAATGATGAGAAGCGCATGGGACTCCTCGGACTGCAGGGAGAGGCAGGCAGGTATTGGCCTCGTTTTTGTTGTTTTTAAATTATTAATCATTTTATTGGGAGCTCTTACAGATACCCTAACAATCCATAGTTCAGTCACATCAGGTGATAGTGTACAATTGCTCCCACAGTCAGTTTCAGTACCTTTTCTTTCATCTTGACTCCATGACAACAGCTCCCCCTTACCCCCTCCCTCCCCAACTCCACCCCTCAGGAACCCTTATTTTTTTCCCCTATAATAGTTTTTGTTTTTGTTGCCATACCTTACACAGTTCAATATATCTATTCACATGCAGTTAATTCTGTTGTCCCATCCCTTGGCTTCATTTTTGTGCTCTAAATTAATCAAGTTGGTTGCCTGTATCAGCTGAGCTATTTATCTATGATCCTGAAATTCCTGGATACCACGGGGCGCTAACTGTAAGATCAGAGAAATGAGGCTTTCTGCTCCTGTAAAGACTCAAGTCTAGGAAACCTTATAAAGGGTGCCTATGAATCAGAACGGGCTTGATAGCAGTGTGTTTGGTGTGGGTTTGGCTAAGTTTCAGTGAGATTACACTACTAAATAGTGCAATTTCATACTGTGAATGAACTAGAATAGACCTTAAAGGAAAATCACAACATAATTCCTTTATAAAACACAATGTTGAGGTTAAAACCATAAAGTGGGTGAAGGGAGACGTCGGACAGGGCAAGATATGACAACATAATAATTTATAAATTACCAAGGGCTCATAAGGGAGGGGGGAACAGGGAAGGGAGGGGAAAAATGAGGACCTGATGCCAGGGGCTTAAGTGGAGAGGAAATGTTTTGGGAGTGATGAGGGCAATGAATGTACAAATGTGCTTTACACAATTGATGTGTGTGTGGATTGTGATAGGAGTCGTATGAGCCCCAATAAAACGATTTTAAAAAGAAAGCAAGCTCTGCCCAGCAGGGCCTTTTTACAAAAAAAACCCAAACAGCTATTGGGGAACCTATCTGGATCTTAGCTGCTGTTTATAAGTTACTAACCTTCACCAAGACAAATACTTCCTGCATTGGAAAGCACAGAAAAGCCTATTATTTAATTCCTCACTGAGAAAGGTTACTGGGAGCATGCAAACTTCCCAGCAACTGTAAAAATAGGGTAGATTTACATTTGGCTTAGGTGAGTCAAATGGTCTCTCCCTGAAGCCAGAATTCTGGCCTAAGGGACAGTTTAAACCTTTCAGCTTCCACTGTAGCCAGGAAAGAGGGGCCACATAGGCATTTCAGTGTCAGTTCTAACATTTCGTGTAGGAAGATGATAATCAATTCATTTGAACTTACCCACATATAGCAAAAGGGTTTGACACTATCATCGATGTCCTTTAGGAATGTTTATATAGCAGGACATCCATGTGTCTATTTGGTTTCTGCCTATGCCTGAGCAGTTGTGGGTTTAAGAACACCAGGCATGACAAACCAGTGCCAAATAACAAGGGCTTCTCTCCCCATGAAGAGGTGGTATGGGACTGGCTGGTTGGCTCTCACGTCAGTAGCAGCTACTGAAAGATGAGATCATTGCCTTCCCAGCTCGAGTCACTCCCCGCTATCAGGTTTGGCGACATTTGTTAAGTTCATGTTGGTTTTATAAGCTTTATAACCTTGAGTGGCTTGGAGATTTGGGAGACCGTGAACTTATATCTCCTTCCTTCCTGGAAAATATAGATGTCTGACTCAACCCTCCATGCCTTCACGTTCTCCTCCTCTATGCTGGGAGAAGAGGTCCAGCTCTACTTCATCATTCCCAAATCCAAAGAGAGTCACTTTGTCTTCAGCAAGCAGGGCAAACACCTGGAGAGCATGCGGCTGCCCCTGGTTTCAGACAAGGTGGGTGATGGGTCTGGAACCCAGACTGACAGGCCCTAGACCAGGCTCTCTAAGTGTCTTCCAGCTAAGAGTTTCTATTTCCCTTTTTAGTCTCTGGTTTTGTTGTGTTATCTTTTTCTTCCTGCAGAATTTGAATGCAGTCAAGAGCCCTATTTTCACTCCTTCCAGTGGCCGCCATGAGCATGGACTGCTAAACCTTTTCCACGCCATGGAGGGTACCAGCCACCTTCACCTTCTGGTGGTCAAAGAATACGAGATGCCGCTGTACCGCAAGTACTGGCCCAACCACATCATGCTGGTGCTTCCCGGCATGTTCAATAATGCAGGCGTGGGTAAGAGCCCACCCCCGACACACCCTCGGGTGGGAGAGGGCTGAGAAGAGAAACTGAGTTCTGTTCAACCTAGCATACTACTGTCAGAGGTCCCCCTGACCCTAAGGTTTTTTGAGTCCTCATTGAATTTGAGTTTTACTTGTCACCTTCTCCACAGTTTTCATCTTTTGATTTTTGAGACCCATTAGTTAATGTCGAGCACCCAGGGTAGGTTGTAAGTGTTGGTGACCAATCTCTCTTTCGGTCTTGTACCCCTTTCCACTCCCTCTCCTGTCCTTAAACCTTAACAGTCTGATCATGAGGCTAAGTGTTTTCAAAATCTGGCTCATTGTTTCAAGTGCAGTTTTATTTTCTACACGTACCACTTTATATCAAGTGAACTAAGACTTTCCTTATACTTCTAGTCTTGTACGGTACCTTCAAACTACCTAACCCATTTACTCACTGCCATCAAGGCAGTACGGACCCAGAGCAACTCTAGGACTGGATAGTACTGCCACTGTGCATTTCCAAGACTGTAACTGTACAGTAGTAGAAAGCCCCCCCACTCTCCCAGCCGTTGGTGGTTTCAAACTGCCAAACCTTGACAACTGCAGCCCAACTCGAAACCACTATACCACCAGGGCTTCTACCTTGTCCCCACGTCCATTCTTCCTCTGATTCATGGTGGTCCTGTAAACCTTGACTGAAGCAAACCACCACATCTTTCTCCTCTACAGAAGTCGTGATTGAACCACTGGCCTTTCACCACCAGGGCTCCTTCTGTGCCTTTATGAACTATACAAGAAAGCTCCTCCTCCTAGGTCGGACTGAATGAGCCTCCTGCTACATTTGCCATTGTTGCAATAGTTTGAGGAGAGGAGAATGAAGCTAACATATACACAAATGAGGTGCACCAGTAGCTTAGTGGATTACTTGTTGGGCTGCTAACCACAGAGTTAACAGTTCAAAATCACCAGCCACTCCACAGAAAGAAGATGAGGCTTTCTGCTCCTCTACGGATTTACAGTTGCGGAAACCCACAGGGGCAGTTCTACCCTGCCCTGTAGGGTCCCTGTGAGTCAACAGTGAATCACTGTGAAACACTCAACAGTGAGTCACACTGTCCTACAGGGTCATTGTAAGTCACTGTTCTGAGTATGTTAAATAACCACGAGATAGATGATTATCACCATCTGTCAGATGGAGAAGCAAAGTGGAAACATTGTTCAGGCAGACTGGCCCCAATCTGCTCTCATTATACCATACTGCCTTTGCAAAAAGATGTAGGCAAAAGGAGCCAGTTTCTAGAATCTTCTCCAGGGAAGACACTGCTTCCAATTTCCTAAATCTAAAACAGGGGAGGCAGCATACCCATTCACCTTAGCACTGCCCATTCCTGTTTGCAGGACATGGGAGTTGCTGCCCCAGGACTGAGGGAGCCTCTTGTCAACAATTTAAGCAGCAAACCAGTATGTGCTTTCCCTATGTGCTACCTTTTGTCCTCTCTTGGACGCAGGGTTCCTGGGTTCTTGCAGTATTCCTCCAGGTGCCATTCATCAGTCATCTGCAGTCTCTCTGCTTTCTGGCCCCCACCGACACTCCGTTGGACCTCTGGTGATGGGCTCAAGGGCTCCACATGTCAACAGACTTGCCCAGTGATCCTTAAAAACACTGCTCTGAGACTGTTGGTGGGCTCTGGTCAGATGTGCAAGCTGTGCTGGTGTTGCTTTGCAGGTGCGGCCAGGTTCCTCATTAAGGAGCTGTCCTATCACAACTTAGAGCTGGAGCGGAACCGCCTTGAGGAGCTGGGAGTTAAACGCCAGTGTGTCTGGCCGTTCATTGTGGTGATGGATGACGCGTGTGTCCTGTGGAATATTCATAGTGTACAAGAGCAAACAAGGTAGTGGTATGTTCCAGCAGTTCTGGGAGAGTATGGCCCAATGTTATAGGGAGATATTTCTCTTGGCTCCAGCTACACAAGGAAGTGACCGAGAGGCATAGCTTTCCAAAGGGTAAGGGTCTTCTATGCCACCCTCACTGGCACATCATTGGTGCTTTAGGAAATGTTTAGACGGTCAGTGTGCCCTATAAACCCCCTGGACCATCCTTTCTTCAACCTGACTTGAGTTAGATATCAAAACATTTGCTGAGGGACAGTCTGGCTTATTTGGAAAGAGTACTGACTTCTGAATCGGCAAGCCTGGCTTCTAGCTTCTGATTCTTCACAATCTTCAATGAAAGGGATTCAGGTCCTTTCTGCCTCAGTTCCATCGCCTACTAAATGATAGGTCAGCCAGAATCAGTGGCTCTTGCCCTAGGGCAGTGTTGCCCTGCTAGGAAGCACTCGGGTATTTTACAGGGAGAGGATTGAGGGGATGGCGCCTTAGGACTGGGGAATGCTAAACTCCCACGCAAAAAGGAATGGCCCCCAAAGGACAATAGCCACCCTTCTACCCTACTCCCCACACACTGTGCCAGATGATCCAAGGCCCTCAAGTTCTGTGGCCTTGTTTTCCTTGTGGATTTGAAAGCAGTGGTACTTCATAATCCTTAGTCCACTGTAATTTCCAGAATCAGAACATATGTACTTCTTTCTGTGGCTGCCTCTTCGGCATCTTCTGGTTCATTATCCACGCTGAAGCACAGGCTGGATGTTTTGCTCTGCCTTAAAAGTGCACAGCAGCATGCAGCAGTGAAACTTGGGGTTAGCATCCTCCTCTGTTCCCTGCTCGTGCAAAGAAATCAGCCACTTGGAGTCACTGCAGATAGACATTAGTACTGTATACTGAGCGCATCAATTACTGTTGGTTCTTCATACACCACCCTCTCTCAAGCGATAATTATGGAACTCTGATGGTGTAGTGCTGAAGTGTTGGGCTGCAATCCACATGGTCAGCAGTTGAAAACCAGCAGCAGCTCCAAGGGACAATGTCTGAGTTTTCGACTTCCATAAACAGCTAGTCTCAGAAACCCACAGGGGGGTCGCCATGAGTCAGCATTGACTCAGTGGCAGTGAGAGGAGTAACAGGTATTTACGTTTTATGCAAACTTTGTATTTCACAGCCAGTCCACAGAAGCAGGGGTTTCTAGTAAGAATGTGTCCTTGAAGAGCGTCTTGCAGCATATCGAAGCCACGCCAAAAATCACCCACTACGCAATCCTGGGGGTTCAGAAATGGAGCAGCAAGTTGACACTGCAGAGCCTGAAGGCTCCCTTCTCCAGATGCCATGTGCATGACTTCATTCTCCTCAATATCGACTTGACCCAGAATGTGCAGTATGACTTCAACAGGTAAGCCGTGCTTAATGGATTCAAGTTCAATATCCAGTGTTGTTACGGCTTTGAATTAATTCATACTGTAGCCTTTGACTGCATTGTTTCAAAAGCAAGAAAGTCGGGAGTTCTCCTTGTTGACAGCCCATTTCCTTTCAGGCAAGGCATCTTGTCTTTTTCAGTGTGAAACAACTGTGGCACCGTCTTGTCTCTGCTAATCTCCAGTCTGCAGTGTTCTTCCACTGTCTGTGTCATTAATTGAAAAGCTAAGAAACTCTTGATACAGATAAGGAAACGCAGGGTGGGCGAGGGGAGGGGATCACATGCTCCAAAGTGTCCATTACTCTTCAAACTGACTTGGAATAGGGTTTATTAAGTGAAAGGCTTAGAAAACATTACTTTAGCCACCGTATAATTCAGTAAGAACTACATCAGGCATGAAACTGTTGAATCTATACAATCAGTGCATGGATAGACAGGTGAGATCAACCCTGTATCCCACTCTCAGAACTCTACTTCGTCAAGTGTAAGTACACCCACAGATTTGCATCCTGTCTGGAGAAGCCAGCAGATGGGGATAAGCAGGCTAGCCATGGCCTTGCCTCCAGAATAAGCTGTGTTTGTGTTCCTGGAAAATCTGTGAGTCAAGGAAGAACGTCACAGCCAACTAAGCCCCAACCGGAGGCTCTTAGACTATGTGCTGCTTTCATTGGCTTCTGGCAGGCGTTTCACCTTACTGCTAGCTTGGATTTTAAAACTGGAAATCCCTCCCTACACACCCTGTAGTAGTAAGGATGTGTTGTTTCAGTTCCGGAATGCCTAAAACCCTGGGAAATTAAGAGTATGTGTGCCCCCAAGTCACATTTCTTTAACAGATGTAATTCCCAAATAGGGGTTTTTTCCCAGGTCTATGATAAGCGGCCCAGCTTAATGAAGGCAGGATTGGAGAAAAGCTGGTGGTGTTTACTTGGACTAAAGAAAACATACTTATGTGATTGGCAATGTCTCCTAATATTTGCTGTTCCGTTTTCTGCGTAATTATAGTTGAGAAACGTACTGTTTTGTCATTTAGGTATTTCTGTGAAGATGTTGATTTTAACTTGAGAACAAACAGTAGTGGGCTGCTCATCTGCCGATTCAATAACTTCAGTCTCATGAAGAAGCATATACAAGTTGGAGGGCAAAGGGATTTTGTCATAAAACCTAAGATCATGGTAAGTTTTGAAAACTTGGCTCTACTGTTAAAAATGAGCACAGTGATTTATTTGATGCCTTTTTTACAAATCCTGGTTTTTGTTGCATGCAGGGTTTTCCATTTGACTGGAAAGTGAAACAGAGTAAGTCCTTTCTCACCATCAGGTCTATGAAGTCTCATCTCCTCACAAGTTTCCTTATTTAAGGCTTAACTCCATCAAAACAATTGTTTCAGTATGATAAACATTTTCATTTTTAAGTTCTTTAAATATATGGCATAAATGTAAATCACGTCATTTGTCTGAGACCTTTGCCCACTTTTTTTACCAACAATAACGTAGATTAAAATCTGTGAGGAGTTGACTCCATTGCTGTGACACCCCCCCCCCCACTGCTTTTCTGTTTAAAGGGTATCTTTGCAAGCTGTGGACTAGCCAATGGAGTTTAGAACCTTTGTTGCCCCATTTTAAGTTGTGACAGGACGAGATTTAACCCCTACATTCAGCTCATGGAATGGGAAGAGGAATCTAGCATTTGACACTCCTCTGACAACAGTCAACACAAAGTGCAGTGCTTGGTTTCCCATTTCATGGTCACAGACACTGGGTTTTCCAATGATAATCTTAACTCTGATTTCAGGTGTCAGACAGCTTAGCACCCATCTTACCCCTTCAGTATGTCTGTGCACCAGACAGTGACCACACACTACTGGCAGCACCTGCGCAATTTCTTCTGGAGAAGTTCCTTCAGCACGCCTCATACAAACTCTTCCCCAAAGCCATCCGCAACTTCAAGAGCCCTGTGTTAGCCATTGACTGCTACCTGAACATTGGACCTGAGGTAAAAGGAGGGGGTGGGGGTACTGTATCAGCTTACATCTATTTCTTTCCCTCCTAGTTCCTGTTCAAAAGCTTACCATAAGACAGGAAGTAGCCTGTGGCATAATTACTAATGTAAAGCTCTGAACATTTTGATGGCAATTGTCCTTTTGTCCTATTTCATTCTCAATAATAGACCAGTGAACACCCATAGCTTGGATCCTAAGTCCCCTTCTGAAGAGCCTACGGGTCATAACTCCTCATGTCATAACATGTCTCAGACTGTACTAACTGAGGCCCCTCAATTCTTTTTTTGTTTGTTTGTTTCTTTTATTTATTTATTTATTTATTTTAAACATTTTATTAGGGGCTCATACAACTGTTAACCCAATCCATACACACATCAATTGTGTAAAGCGTATTTGTACATCATTTCTCAAAACATTTTCTCTCCATTTAAACCCCCGACATTAGGTCCTCATTTTTCCCCTCCCTCCCCGCTCCCCCCTCCCACATGAGCCCTTGATAGTTTATAAATGGGTATTTTGTCATATCTTGCCCTGTCCGACGTCTCCCTTCATCCACTTTTCGGTTGTCTGTCCCCCAGGGAGGAGGTCACACACAGTTCCATGTAATCGGTTCCCTCTTTCCTACCCATTCTCCCTTTACCCTCCCTGTTTTGCCACTCACACCACTGGTCCTATAGGGCTCATCCATCCTGGATTCCGTGTATTTTCAGTTCCTATCTGTACCAGTGTACCTCCTCTGGTCTAGCCAGTCTTGCAAGATAGAATTCGAGTCATGGTAGTGGGAGCGGGGAGGAAACCTTTAGGAACTAAAGGAAGGCTGTACTTCTCATCATCGTTACACCGCACCCTGACTGGCTCATCTCCTCCCCGAGACCCCTCTGCAAGGGGATCTCCAGTGGCCTACTAATGGGCTTTGGGTCCCCACTCCGCACTCCCCCCATCATTCACTATGGTAAGATTTTTTGTTCTGATGATGCCTTACACCTGATCCCTTCGACACCTCGTGGTTGCATAGGCTGGTGTGCTCTTCCCGTGTGGACGAGGCCCCTCAATTCTTAAAGGCTTTTGCCACCAAGTGTCCCCTTGGGACCGACCATGAGTTTTGCTTTTAACTTTATTATATTCTATTCATCAAAGTAACAAACGAGAGGGTACCAAAAAAAACACAAACAGAAAAAAGCTCAGCTGGGTGGAGCTTTCTTAGTATAATTTTTCCAGCTAGGCATCCAGTGGCATTGCCTGGGAAGGTTCTCTGTGGTCACAGTGAATTTTTTCATAAATGCAATTGCACTTGAACCTCGTCTTTCGTGATGGCCAATTTAAGAGAACAGCATGTGGCTGTGAAATTTTGTTTCCTGCTTGGAGAAAATGCCACAGAAACTGTTGTGACGTTGAACATAGCTTACAAGGGCAGTGCTTTGGGAAAAACTCAAGCGTACGAGTGGTTTTTTTCGTTTCAAAAAAGGTGAAATGTTGACTGATGACAAACCTCGTCCTGGACATCCATCAACTTTCTGAATGGACAAAAATGTGGACAAAATTCATGCACTTGTGCTCGAAGACCAACGACAGACCGTTGAAGAGAGGGAGAAGTTATCTGGACTGTCTTGGAGCTCGATTCAGTGAATTTTAACAGATTTGGGGATGAAAGGGTCACTGCTATATTTGTGCCTCAGGTTCTGACCGACTAGGCAAGAGTGTAAAGTAGAACATGCCATACTTTGAAAGAACAGCTCTGAAGTGACCAAAGGGACTTTTTGTCCAAGGTCATTACTGGTAATGAGACATGGTGTTATTCTTAAGATCCCAAAAGCAAACACCAGTCAAGCCAGTAGACGATGCAGCTGTCACCTCACCCCCAAAAGCTCCTCAAGTGAAATCAATGTTCAAGATGATACTCATTGGTTTTTTTGATGTGAAGGGGATTGTCCATTTGGAGTTTATTCCACCAGGTCAGACTGTTAATAAATTTTTCTATTTAGAGTTTCTGAAAAGAGCTTAACAAGTGTGCAACAAAAAAGGCCTGATTTGTGGCAGATGGGGCACTGGTTTTGCCACCCAGGACAATGCACTTTCTCACACAGCCATCTCAGTGTGCCAGTTTTTGGCAAAACAAAAAACCAGCATGCCTCTTGTTCCATGCACTTTATTCACCTGACCTCGCTCCGTGCGACTTTTTGTTTCTGCAAATGAAGAGGGACACAAAAGAACAGTGATTTGACAACTTAGATGAAGGAAAAAATGAGGAGGTGCTAGCAGCCATCCACAGATGTTTGAAACCAAGAATGGGATTGCAGATTTGGCAAATATATTAAGTGTAATGGAGAGTACTTGGAAGGTGATAAGGTTTTTTGTTTGTTTGCTTTTTTAATTGAAATAGCTTTTGGGGTGGGGAACCTGGTGTTTATTGGGTAATCCCTTATACATTCCTTGTTAAAGATTTTCAAAAATAAAAGGTATACAGAAAAAATGAAATCACTTGTGAATTAGCCTTTTGGTGTACTATATTTCCCTCTGCTGGTGCTAGTGGTGCTTGCTGCTGGGTAAGCATTGGACTGCTAATCACATGATCAGTGGTTCAAGCCCAACTACTCCTTTGAAGAAAGTTGAAGCTGTCTGCTCCCACCCTATACAGGGTTGCTGTGCATCACTCAGTAGATGTGAGTTTTTATTGCCTTCCAGGTGTTTTTCTTTGTGTGCATTGACAAAGCTCATGACGACACCCCTCTTTAACAAATCTAAAACTGTATTCAACTTAAGAAACTCCACTTGGGAAACTGATTTTTTTTAATCGAACAGTATAAGCATTTTACATGTTCATGTTTCATTAATCTGAGAGTTCGCCCATGAATTGTAGCATTTTGGATGGGCAGACCTTAAACCATCGGCTGTAGTAATCCCTTTTATAATATGTACATAAGTTACATTCATATCTAGCCCAGCCTTCTTAATACTCTTACCTGGGTTCAGCACTCCTGCTGTTAGACCACACAATTGCAGTGCCACTACTAATAACAGCTAAGACTTACTGAATGCTTTTGAGTGATATCCATTATGAAATTCACACAACAGCCCTGAAAACAAGATTGTTATGTCAACTTTATAGATGAGGAAACTGAGGTACAGAGAAATGAATCCATTGCTCAGTGTCAAGCAGCCACCCCATGGAGGACACAGCATTTGAGCAAAGGCACACTGGCCTATGCACCATTGTCAAATCAGTCTTGCGATGATTTTACTTCCCCATGTTTCTTGTGAAGTTTTGTTCTGTACGAAAAAGCCATTTAGAGGTAAAAGAAAGTAAGATTATGTGCTTATTTAAGCATTTCCAGTTGAAATTTTAAGCATTATCTAATGAAAAGGTCATTACAAATCTCTTATAATTTTCAATATAAGCATTTCATTTATTCTAAAAGTATGGCTTTTCATAGAAGGCACTTGTTTCTGCAGACTCACTCTTGCAGGGGTTTGTTTCTTGCCAATTTCTCTCATACACAAATTACAACCTGATGGCTCTACAAAAGCAATCCCAGGCTTGAAAATCCAACTCACCAACCCACCCACCCACCCACCCACCAGTGTAATGAAGCACTTAAGAGCATTGACATTACCTTACTCTGAAATAGATACACTACAAAGACACTGACCCCCGCTGTTACGCTTGTCTGTGAAATGAAAATGCTATTTCTGCTTGGTGATTTCAGGTGGCCACCTGCTACGTTAGCTCCAGACCCCACTCCAGCAATGTCAGTTGTGAAGGGGTGTTCTTCAGTGGACTCCTCTTGTACCTCTGTGACTCTTTCGTAGGTGCTGATCTTCTTAAGAAATTTAAGTTTCTAAAAGGTAAGTCAACGTTAGTATCTACTTTTGTGAGTGTTCTTGGTTTCCGGTAGGCAAAATATGAAGGTGAAAGATGCTTAAATACTTTTAACACAGATTTTCTTTGCCAAGAAATTGAGTCCTTCCTTTAAACCAGGGTCACTGATTTAACAAGGGGTGGAGGGAACAGTCATTGTTATCTTCAGACTGTGAGTATAGATGAATAGCCAGCTGTGTGATTTTTAAAAGGCTTCTGCCATGATTAACTTTAAAACAGAACAATGAATGCAAAATAGATTTAATAGATATAATGCTTCTCATGTCCTACTTTGAATAAAAATGTTAAATGAGCCTGATCAAACATGGATTAACTACACAATCTACAGTAATGTAACTGTAACAACATAGTGTTTGCATCAACCACAGCACTTTTTGTACAGGCGACATGAGCCTTTTTTTACAATCACACTGCAAAAGTAGCTGCTTCTCTAGTGCGCTGTTCTATCAGCCTAAGAACAAGCTGCAGATTCAACACCTTCACAAAAGGACCTTCAAGGACAGTGACAGGGAAAAAAGAAAACGAGGCTCCAAATATTGTGTACTGTTAAGAAAGGAAATTGTATATTTGCTTCTCTCTATATAAAACACCTTGGAGGAGCTCTGGTGGCACAGTAGGTTACACACTGATGGTTAGCAGTTCAAAACCACCAGGTGCTCCTCAGAAGATACAGCTCTCTACTTCCCGTAAGGATTTAAAGTCTCAGAAACCCACAGGGGAGTTCTACTCCGTCTTACATGCTTACTATGAGTCAGAATTGACTCGATGGCAGTGAGTCTGAGGTTTCGACACAATTTTGGTGGACAAAACTGAGGGGTGGGGAGAGGGGGTTCTACTGGCTTCTGGTGACTCTAAAAAGGCAGAGATGCTGCTAAACAACCTTGAGTAGGCACAGGACACTGCTCCACAGCAAAGCATTATCCAGGCTACCAGTTGAGAAACCCTGCCCACGAGGGGCATCTGAGAAACGTTAACAGTGGCACTGTAGGGTAAGCATTGGCCTTCTAATCACAGGTCAGTGACTTAAACCCACCAGCTGCCTGGAGGGAGGAAGATGAGGCTGTCTGCTCCTGTAAAATTTGTACTCTCAAGAACCTTATAGAGCAGAGTGTTCCAAAATGGGCAATAACACCTGCTAAGGGGGCACTGGAACCATTCAAGGAGGCTCCAAAAGTGTATTCCTATGCTTTATACTGCATCATAGGTTAGAGAACAAACGTTTTTTAATTGCCAGGGGGTACTGAGTAATTTTAATTCTGAAAAGGGGGACATAAGCCAACTACCGTATATACTCGAAGTATAAGCCGACCCAAATATCAACTGAGGCACCTAATTTTACCACAAAAACTGCATAAAAAATGTGCTGAAAATCTCAGCTTATAAACAAGTATATACGGTAAGTTTGGGAACCTTTCCTATAGAGTGTTGCCAGGAGTCAGAATCGACTCAGTGGCTGTGGGTTTGGGTATTTTACATTGGCTCTCAGATATTCATGTGCATGACAGAATGATAGAGAGGTGGTAAGGTTCTTTGTGATTTCAGTCTCAACCTAAGATACCCTGCCTGCCTTTTTTCTGAAGGTGCTACCCTGTGTGTCATCTGCCAAGACAGAAGCTCCTTGCGCCAAACCATTGTTCGCTTAGAGCTTGAAGATGAATGGCAGTTCCGCCTCCGGGACGAGTTTCAAACTGCCAACAGCAGTGATGACAAGCCTCTCTATTTTCTTACTGGACGACATGTATGAACTTTTTAAAAGAGAACCAAAATAGCAAAGGGGATGCCTAGGTGAGGTGGAACCGAAACAATTATTTGGGGTTTTTTTGTTTTGTTTTCCTTTAAAGTACAATCACTGTGGAGCAAAGTGCAACGTATTTGTCTATTCTCCAAAGAGCTCCCCTATCTGACGCAGGTTTTGGGGGCATCACTCTCCTTCAGTTCCAATGACAGGACCTTGGATTCAGGTAAACTCTACCCTAGGCAGTTATGCAATTCTCTAGGACAAGGTCTGCCCACGGGATCCTGAAGAGGTATACATTGGAGAATGATGGGCATTTGCATTGTTTTTTCTACTACAGGTTAGGGGGAAAACTTGACTTTCAGCATTATCTAGTCTGAATGTGTTACGTGAGACTCACACCGCTGGTGTGAAATTAATTGAAGATTAACGTTTGAGGCTTGAATCCTCAGTTTCTCTTCAGATCTGTACCTTGGTACAGTATTACTCAGGGGTCTGAAAAGATAGAATGTAGAAGATATTTGTATTTAAAAAAAAGAAGTAGCTTTGTCTTTCTCTGTGCAGTGTTAGTTTAAGATTTATTATCTTATATGTATTGAAACCTTTGGCAAAATTTCCACAGGAGTTAAAGTTTACTATTTAAACTGACTGACAGATCTATTAGGTACATTTATGCCACTATTCCTAGTTTATTACCTTTGAGCTTTCCATTCTCTTGAGATGGTTTCAGTCTTTCGCGCACCATGGCTATGAGCATATGGAAAAGAACCTGGTTAGGTGAGCCAACAACGAACTGTCCCGATAGCCCACACCCACCGTTTAGTAGGAATGAAGTACATGCAGTCCCCAGCTTACAAATGACTTCTGTTCGGAAATCTGTCTTTGCAAGGTGAATTGTATGTTGTCGGTTCAGTTAGGTATGACTCATACCTAATGTCGGGCTAACATTTGTCATAGTTATATGTCTTTATGCCTAAAACACTATAAAACACTTCCAGATACACTAAAACACCATGAATAATTCAGTAATGTTTTCATAATGCACTGCAAGTAGTGTCCATTGGCTATTAGGAACCATTTTATGGACTCCAAAAGTGTAATGCTTGACAGGGATTGGTTTCAAACTATGGTGATATTTAAGTCAGCCATTCTTAACCTGGGGACTGCCTGTACTCAACAACCAAAATAAATGTCAGGTGGAGGTTTTGCGTGGAGTGGAACGAGTTTGTTTCAACGACTCAAGCAAAGCTTCCTCTAAAGCCTACACTGAATATTAGCTGCCTTAAACTGAACCCAACACAGAAATTCTGAAGTGGGAACAGAAAATCAGGCCATAAGGAGAGACTTGTTTTGACTCGATCCTACTAGAAATTCTTATGTGAAGAGTAAGGAATAATTCACTGAAAGTCTTTTTAACCCATTAGAAATTTTAGCTGCTACTGAAATAGCATACAGGAACTAAACACTACCTGATCCTGCACCAAACCCGTTACACATTGGCTGTTGAGCTCCACAGGCACTGCCTGATGTTTGGGAGGAGACTGCCAGGTCTTTTCCTGGTCTCTCTTAAGGGTCTAGAAGCCATGTTGAAATCTGTTCAGCAACATGCAAGAGCCCCAGTGACAAGACAGGCATGAAGTACACTGGCTGGAAATCAAACAAGTCTCCTGTGTGGAGGGCTGGAATTCTATCATTGACCCACCAGTGTTAAAAGAGGGGACATTTGTCCAATGGAATCTCAGTAGGTCACAGTTTAAACAGTTGGCTGGTAACTGAAAAGATGGCTGGCTGACACCACCCAGAGGAGCCTCAGATGAAAGGCCTGATGATCTACTTCTGAAAGAGCAGCCTTTGAAAGCCCTATGTAGCATAGTTCTACTGGGACTTAAGCGGGATGGCCATGAACCAGAATGGACGCAGTGGCCGCTGGGTCTTGTTTGTCCAGTGGAGTCCCGAGTCCCTGGGTGGTATGAATGGTCTGGCTTGCTCATCAAAAGGCTGACATCTGAGTCTGTGCAGCAGCAGCCTCAGAAGAAGGCCTGGCCATCTGCTTGCGAAGCATCTGCCACTGAGAACCTGCGACGACACAAGAGTACTGACACACAAGGGCTGTGGTGAGTCAGAAGTGGCAGTTGGTAACTTGTCAAATATGAATTCACAGTAGGAAACCTGCTTTCTACTTACAAATTTTCTCAAGTCTATTGGATGTTTACTTAAAAAATTTTTGAAGTGGATGTTTACTTCTAAATTACTCCAGTTCTCTTAATTAAGCAATCCTTTGGGATTTTTCTTATTAGCCTGTCTGTCCCACTTTACCCCTTCTTAAAATGGCCATTTTTACTTGAAGCTGTGTATTGTTCATGACCTGAAACTACTGAGAAAGGCCTACTAAGCCTACACTTACTTAGAACAAATAATTACCCAGCTTTGTTATCTTGGGATAACAAGTTTACAGCTAGTGAAAAGTAAAAAGGCTGAAAATGGCTTGCAGTCCTCTTGATTTTAACAGCTAGTTATGCTTTAAATGTGTTTTGAAACGAACAATTCCTTTTAACCCCATTTTTAGTTGTCCTTCAGAGATCTGCCTTATAGTATATACTTTGAAAATACAGCAGAATTTTTTTGCAAAGAGGTACGTTGTATAGCAGGTTGGATAATATATTGAATGTTTTTCAATTGTTCCTGTTTTGTTGGAAGGGCCTAAGGGGGACCATATCAAGTAACCCACTATTTGTGCAATACCTTTTACTATGTAGAACAAATAAAATACTTGAAATAATTCTAAAAGTTTTACCTGGGACAAATGGCTTCTCAGGGTTTCTTCTGGCTTTATGACTTCATAGTCTAAATTTTTTGTTATTTTGAATGCAGACATTCCACATTAAGCTAGGGCTGTGCTCTAAAAAAATCGAAATGATTGTAACCTCTTAAGTACTATTTAATTGTGTGGAAGAAAAATGCCAGAATAAAGCCAAAATTAGACCATTGTCCCAATGGAGAAACCCAAATTGACCTTGCCTATTCGTCTCAAATTCAGCCTTACTAAGGCTTGGATCTTTTAAAATCACCTTATCAGTATAATTATTTAGTGAACCTTGGGTCCTTCTCCTTTAAGGATAAAATTGCACAAGTACAGGACACCATGATTTGTTAATATTTATCTTGGTGTGTTCAGCTTTAAGCCTTGCCATCCCTTAGAACATTGATGTGGTATGAATGTATTAAATAGGCCAGCATAATAATTTACCTATAGACCTGTTGAATGTTGGCATGTTTGACAGTTCATACAGGTTAATACTGAATGTAAACTAAAAATTAGAATGAAAATTGATTTCAATTTTTGGGGCTGTAATTTATGCAATTGTTTTTGTGTGTGTGATTTTTAGAAAAGGGGGCACCTGTGTTACTTTATTACTGTAAATTTTTCTTAACCAAAAGTTGGTGAATTTCACTAGTCGGTCTACCTCACATTTTGTTTATGATTTTAAATTGTCTTAAAAGTTGTTTTTACAGTGTTACTGTCTTTTAATTTGGTGAATGTATTAAAATTCCCTCCCGCACACACATAAAAAATAGTTCATTTTCTTTTAACTTTCTGATTCTCTGCACATACCAAAGGCTGTGGAAGGGCATCTGCTACCAACTTCAAGATTCCACGATCCTGGCACAACAGTCCAAGGACGTGCTAGTTAAAATGTTGAATAAAAACCTGTAGCTTATACAAAAAACAAAAATTCACACAAGGTATCTACCCATTTTGTGCCCATTTTCACATCTCCATATGATAATGAACGGCAGATCCAGAAATGATTGAGATGTTAAATATATAACATTAATACATTCTCAGTCTTTATAGATGGCAACTAAACTTACTTGGTTCCGTTGTTAGAAACAGAAACTTTGGGTTGCCACAACTGTGTGGTATGATACAAGGTATTAAACTCCGATTTATTCTAAATTAATTTTCATACAAATACTTTTCCTGGTCTCAGAAAAATTATTTCAATTATGTAGATGACAATAGATGTATTACAGTTGTACAAAAACATGTTTTTGTGCCAGAGGTCCTGGCCTTTACCTAAGGAAGAAAATAACTAGGAGAGATTTTTAAATATTTTATGGAAATTAAGTTCATTTTTCTGCAAACTTTTTGAAGTCTCATATTTATAAGTGTGATGGCAGATTCAGAAGCAACTAGAGACTGCCCCTTTCTCTTTATGTGTTCCAAAGCAGCTGTCTTAGACGGATTACCGTACCTTCCTATCCAAAGTACCCAGACCTCCAGCAACCTCGGGAAACAGTGTCCCTCAAGTCTCTCGTTGTGGAAACTGGGTCCAGAAGATACCCCCACAACGAAAAACCAAAAACCAACTTCCATCAAGTTGGTGCCAACACATACGACTCCAGTACATAATAAAATCACAGCTTCGTTGAGAAAAAAACCACCACTAAAGCGACTTCCCAAGCAAAGCCTCTGAGGAAAAAATCCTTTCACACAAGAAATCTGTGTGAAGTGCTAAAAATTTACTTCAGTGACTGACAACAGATGCAAAGATAGGTAACAGTAATGGGTTGTTTTCTGACCACACCTTCATTCTATAAATAGTTTAATATCTGATTAGAGGACAGAAAATTTTATTCCAAAAGATGGCAGAAACAAATGCATTCTAAAAATAGTGGTGTAGTTCTATCGCAATGCGGAACACGGTTTTCGGTTGCTCCAGTGCAGTCGCTTCTGCCTTAGAGCCACTTCTGGGCAGGTCTTCAGTTCTGCGTCTCACATGATGAACAGGCAGGGGGCATCTTCAAATCCACAAGATCCAAAGAAGAGAGCAAAGTCTTTCCCAAAGAATTGCACCTTCTACTTCAGAAGAGTGCATAAACATTTTGCAAAGTCGGCAGTTTAGGTGAAGTAGGCACAAAATTCAAAGTGTAAAGGAGGTAGCGGTAAGACTCATGGGCGAGGTGACTCTCTTTTGTAAGGAGCTGATGCTCCGAAAGGCAAATCAAGGAAGGTGGTCTGGGTTTGGAGGTGATTTGGCATCGAGGCATTCTCTTTAGGACCTCAATGACAGGCACTGTGATCATGTCGTTATCTTTAGGGCCAGTGGTAGTTGAGATACCAGATGGTCTCATTTTTTTTAGCTATGGTTCAAAGACTCACATTGGTCCCACCTGGGAGTGTGGGACCACAAATTTTTATTGGCGTTGAGGAAGGGAGGATTAGGGTTTATTTTAAGACAGAATTTTCCTTTTTGCTGCTAGAAATCCCAACAGCCATGACTGGTTGTGTGTCTGTTAACATCACTTGAGGGATCAGCTCAGCAATCTTCATTGGAATATAGCTGGGCAAGAATATCAGTGTTCCTATCTAGCGCATAAGAGGTCATGCGGAGTAAGAATGCAAGATTAAAATATTGCTACATGTTAGCTGTAGTCACTAACTTTCCTGTAAGCATTCAGGTGTCTGGAAGATACACCAAGTTCACCTTTGTCTATTATGAACTTACAAAATATTTTTATAATTATTGCAAAATAAACTAAAACCTCGTATGTCCATGCAGACAGGACCATCTGTGTTTTAATCATCACTGAATTTATTGAATTCCCCCATAAAATTGAATAGTTCCTCAATACTATTTTATACCAGACACTAAAATAAATTGAGGACAGCTGACCAAAAAATAGGCATCCTTATACAACAGCAATTAGATAAACCTCTGGAAATTTGACTGTGGCCATGCTCACTGTGGCTACTGTTCCCTCTACCACGCCATGGAAACGGCTCTTTTCTTAACTTCACTTGGAATCTCTTTAGTCTTTAATTGTGGGTGACAACGTTGATCATTCTTTTATTCTTCCCTTGGTTTCTACCACACTCTTACCATGTATCATGCCTTTCCAGTTACTCTTTTTTGAGACTCTTATTTTTCACAACTCTCTCCTGCCCTTCCCACTACATAAATTCCAGGGTAAATCTCTTAAAAACCTTCAAAGAACTCACACGTTTATTTGTTCAGTCCAAACTTCTCTTGAACACTATACCAACATATCCAACTATGTACCAGATAAATAGATGACCTTAAAAATTCTGCCAGACCTTCCTATCTAATCCTTCTGTACTCCCAAATCTGCTAAATTACCCAAAACATAACTCCCAACTATCCCCCAGATTCTTTGTCATGATCCATCTCATTCAAGTATCAATTCTAGAAGGGGATCAGATGTGTATTGATCCTAATATTTAGCTCTAAAAACTACAAAATTTAGCTGGTTTTTAATGGCGATAAAGTAATTTCATCTCATTAATAGAAGTTAAACCATACCATCTGTGGTCATTTGTTTGAGAGACCAGAAAACTATCAGGGTATTAAAATAATCAGAAGTAATTTTGTCTACTGGAGATTAAGTTCAGTTGAGCAGTTGCAGGTTTAGCGATCCTTTGGCAAAATGGTGAAAAACAATCTTTTAAAAAACTAATGTTGTAATCATATTTCAAGGGCTCAAAGCCAAAGGAACTCCCTGAAAATGCACAAATGACAACACTTTCCACACCACATCTTAGCAAATAACATTTATCACATAAAAAAGCTATCAAGTACTTTTATTTTATTCTACATTATATACATATTGTAAAAGGCCACAGCAGTTTAACATATAAGCCCTTTAAAAGTAGAGGGCATTATGAAGGACAGACAAGTATCAAAATGAAGTCCAATAACAAGGGCATATACTCAGTGTAGAATTTCTAAGGAGTAACACAGCAGATACCAAGTAATTTACATTTACCTTGAAAATATTCCATAGGATTTTATAGACCTCTTTGGGATCTGTTAATAGCCTAAATGTGCCAAGTTGTCCGGAGGCGGGGGTGGGGGTGGGGTTGTTTCTTTGTTGTTTTTTTAAGTGCAACCAGAACAAAAGAAAAATGAACTTTAGAGGATACTTTCCTAATTCTAGTCTGAACTCTTGACCACTTACCACCTCTACCCACTATTAAGGATAGGAAAGGAGAAAATAAATAGTGTAAACTCAGAATTCTAAGATTTTGGAGCTTTTCTGTGAGGGTGGTGGCAAAGTATATTGCAAGTCTTTTCCACAATAATATGGCCCCCTCCTGACATCTCAAAACACTGGTTTCTGCTTTGTATAAATATCTCGAGACCTATAAACTGTTATCAGCAGATCAATATAAAAAGTACAGTACCAAGCTACACTGGTATATTCCCCTATCAAGAACTTCAAAATATACTTATCATCGAGACCATACAGTCCTTGCATTAGTTTCAGTCCACTATGAACAATTTGCTGCATGTAAACATGTCTAAATAATTATAGATAAAATACATCAATCATAAATTTCTGTAAAAGATAATAAAATATCTTCTTTAAAAAACAAAACAACAATAAGCTATTACTGCATTGTTTCCAATTTTATGAAAATGGAACAACCTAATGGTTGTTGCCAGTCCTGAGTTCATTGTAACAAAAATGGCCCTAGTTCCTGGTTAAGTCAGCAATAAGTCCATTCTTCAGTAGATGTCCTCTAGTACTATAGGCAAGAATTTGTTTTAGGTGCTATTCTGTCCATTAATAAAATTATATACCAGAAACTGTCCAGTGCCACAGTATTGTGTTGCAAATAGTTTTCCATCAGGAGTAGGATCTGAGAAAGCAATTTCTTCTTTACTCAAATATGAGCCATATATAAAGTTGCTCCTATTTTTAAAAAGAAGGGAGAGAGAAAGGTAGAATAAAGCATGTAAATATTTCCAATTGTTAAACTGAGATAAATCTATGAAATAGTTTGACTAGAAAAACTTTTTAGGTAATGCTGTGTGTTCTAAATTGTTAAAAATAACCATGCATTCAAAGTTAATATATTGAGATAAATTTCTATTTTATAAAAACAAGCATTCATGATAAAAACACAAAAAACAGAAAAGAATTGTTTCTACCTGATGAAGGCATCAATGAATATAAATGTTAATCGTGAAAAGCTAAGTATCTTCCCTTTGGGTGAGAAACAAAGAAAACTCTGGTGGTGGTGCTAATCTATGCTAATCACAACGTCAGTGGTTCACATCCACCAACTGCTCTACAAGACAGAGATGAAATTATCTGCTCCCATAAAGATTTAGAACTTCAGAAACCCTGGTTAGGGTCACAATGAGTTGGACTTGATGGCAGTGAGTTTTGGAAGATGAGGAACAAGACAAGGATGCCTACTTTCATCACTTCTATTCAATATTGTATTGAAGATCCAGCCAAGGCAATTTAAGGAAAAGTGAATAAATAATACCTAGCTTCAAAAGAAATAGAAAAATCTTTCTACATATAACATGAGCTTATATATAGAATATACTGCAATAATCCCTTCCTAAAAAAATTAGAATTAATAAACAAGTTCAGGCCAAATTGAAGAACACAAGGTCAATATTCCATAATCAACTGTATAAGTAACAACTTTTAAAATAAATTAAAATTAAAACAATTCCACTTAGAATAGCATTCTAAAGAAAAATTAATTTAGGATACATTTAACAGCTGCAAAACAATTCAAGTTGTGTACACTGACAACTACAAAAGATTGCATAGAGAAAAAAATCTAAAGAGGAATGGAAGATTATAGCTCAGAAGACCTAATATTAAGACTGTAATATTCTCCAAACTAATTTACAGTTAGCTTGTATCTATGTGGTAATTGAAATGCTGATCCTAAAATTCATATCTAAACATAAGGGACACCATCAAATAGCCAAAAGTATCTTGAAGAAAAAAAAAAGTTGGGGAACTCATACCTCCTGACATCGAAACAAATTACAAGGCTACAATATTCAAGACAGTGTAGGGCAGGCAGACAAGTAGATCAATGGAACAGATCTTAGTCTTGATGTAAACCCTCATATTTACAGCCAATTGATTTTTTTTACCAAAGTGCCGAGGATAATGAATAACTGTTCTCATTAGGTGTGTGTTAAACAAGAGGCCATTGGCAGTTGAAGCCTCTCCCATGATGTGAACTAATATAATGTCAACAACGCCATGATGGAATTAGCTGTGAGCAGAAGATGATTAGGGGAGTGTGCAGCTTTTCTCAGGTCACAGTCCTGCTGCAATCGAAACAAGTTTTCTTGGGTTTATGGCCTCCAAAACACTTGCTGCCATAAAGTCAATCCAACTCACAGTAGCCCTGAAGGACAGGGTAGAACTGCCCCAGCGGGTTTCTGAGACTGCAACTCTATGCAGAGCTAGAAAGCCTCACATCTGTCTCCAATGGGGCGGAGGATGGCTTCAAACTTCTGATGTTGTGGTTTACAGCCCAACATGTAACCCACAACGCTACCAGGTCTCCTGCTCCTGCTTCCTATGGGAAGCTTCCCTATTTCTTACTGGTCTGGATCGTATATTTGGCTTACAGACCCACCATACTGCCTGCCAGTCTTGGATTCATTCAACTCTGTAGGCACAAGCCTGACTTGCTCCTGCTTCCTGGCTTGTCAACTCCTCCAACTCAAGTTAGGAAAAGTCATGACCCTGCTGGTCTTGGATTCCTCCACCAGCCTGTCCTCTTCCTGTTGACTCATCCATCTCCTTGCTTCCTAGTTTGTCAGCCCATGCAGCTGCATGAAAAAAAAAAAAAAAACATGCAGAAAAAACTTCCAGCTTACCCTTTACCCATGGACTTAAACCAGGTAAGACTTAACCACTTCTCCAACTGTGTGAGCTACTTTTTTCATGTTCTTCACATACATAATCTTTGGTTTTGCTTATCTAGAGATAAGCAAAATGATCCTGGCACAAGCAGATAACCATATGGCCAAAGAATGAAGTTGGACCAAATTATAGGAAAAATAAAATAAATAAGTATTGCTGGGTAGACAGAAACTGGTGGGCTCCTCTAGACTACAGCCCTTAGTCACCTCACACTTCATGAATGAACCTGAACTCACTCCACCCCAAGGCTCAACTTTTAGTCAAATACGAAGGTAAGATGAACAACGTAGTTCTGGTTGTATAATGGGTTAGGTGTTGAGCTTCTAACAATTAAGGTTATCAGTTCAAACCCACCGGCGGCTCAGTGGGAGAGATGAGGCTATCTGCTCTAAGGATGATTTAGAGCCTCAAACTGGAAGAGGTAGTTCCACTCTGCCTTACAGGGTCACAATGAGTTGGAATAGGAGCCTTGGTGGTACCGTGGTTAAGTGTTGGACGGGTACCTGCGAGGCTAGCACAATGACTGGGCTGTCTACTCCTGTAACAATTAGTCTCTGAAACTCACAGGGCAATTCTACCCTTCTTAAAAGGTCACTCTAAGTTGGCATAGACTTTTTGGCACTAAATTAAGCTTTTTTATGAGAAAACTCCAAGGCAGTGGGCATAAGGTGTACAATAATACTGCAGAGGCCAACATTATCATTCATTAGGGAAATGTAAAACAAAACTACAATTCCAATACCACTTAACATTCACCAAAACCAAAAACCAAACTCTCTGCCATCTAGAATAGCTCAAATTTAAAAAAAAATAAGATGAAGAATAATTGGAACCCTCATCTGTTGCTAGTAGGAAGGTATATAAAATGGTGCAGCTGGTTTGGCAGCTCCTCATAATGTTAAGCGGAGTTAACATAAGATCCAGCAAGTATAAGTAAACAGAGTTACATACGATCAAGCAAGTATATTCCAATTTTAAGTATAAGCAAGAGAAATCATAGTATATTTCACAAAAATGTATTCTGGGATGTTCACAGCTTTACTGATAATATCCATATCCAAAATGGTATAAACCACACAAATGCCCATCGAGTGATGAGTGGAAAAATAAAATGTGATCAGTAGAATATCTTTAGACAATAAAAATAGATGAAGCACTATCACGTGGATAATAGGGAAATCCATTAAAATAAAACGCAGATTACTGGCTGACAGAGGTGGAGGGAAAGATAATGGATATGGAATATCTTCAAATGTGATAGAACTACCCTAAAATGAGAGAGTGATGCTGGTTGGTCAAGTTACTGTCCCCCAAAATAAAGATGAATTTTATCATAGAGTTATTACTATAGAAACAAAGAATTTATCAAGGATACAGACTATTAGAAAAACTTTCATATTGTCAACTTTAGAAGACATGCTGGACACTAAGAGGAAGATCTATATAAGAAGGAGAAATACACGAATGAAGTATTTTAACAGGAACCTCGGTGGTAATTTCATTATCATACAGAGCAGTGTGTCCCAAAGTAGGCGATATGACCCCTTGGCGGTGCAGCTGGTCAATCCAGACAGCTGCAAAAGCAGACACCTCTATCTTGGATTATGGGCTATAGTACAGAAGTTGTTCGTTACTAGCGGAGTAATTATTTTTCTGAGAAGGAACAGTAGGCCAAATAAGTTTGGGAGCCTATGACAAAAAGCAATACTTATACTGGCTGGTTTTTTGTTTTGTTTTTTTAAATACACTGGAACCACCTTATGGTATCGTAAGACCTAAGTTTATAGGGCTTAAAAGAGGAGCAATGTCCACATGTAGAATTTTTCAAGGCACACTTCTTAAGGAGCCAAACACATGGTAATGAAAAAAGTGGTCAGTCCTGAGCCATTCTAGATCATTACACATTTATAAACTAAGAAGGATGACGTACATTATTATATTTTAAAACCATACCATCAAATAATAGGAATTCTATAAATAAACAAAATCAATATATGAGCCTAAAAAACTCTTATTTGAATGATACCTTTTTCCATATGCTTTATAGAACAGAAACTACTGTCTGGGCCTGCCTTTTATACCTTTGATAAACACGTGGTAAAAGTAAGAAAATGAGAGACTTAATTTACAAACAATATTCTTAATATAAGTTTCCCTAAGAGTTTAACTACTGAGAAACTTAACCATATTGCTTTCCCCTATTCTCCACTATCAAATTCTCCACTATCAAATATATCTTAAAACAAGTACATTTTGGCTTAAAGGTTACAAATAAGAGTTAAATGAACACAGATCCAAAGGTGACAATCTTATGCAAAATAAGATATAGCGTATTATACATTTAAGATAAATTAAATGCCAATCTTTTGTTCTGCAACTTTCCCTAAGTCCTAATCTGCTGAAAATAATTTAAAGAATCACACTGAAATTACCTTAAACATTCAATCATGCGAGAAGCAATTTTCTTGCGTCGCATCATGCTGAATACCCATATCCGACTGATGCCACAGATAGCAGGCTCCGGCAATGTTGAGCAGCACCAGGCTTTTTGCCTTTCAAATCGAACTTTCTCTTCTTCTGTCCCAGTAACTGGAAGTTTCTCTTCTATAACTCTATAGCCCTATAAGTGTCAAAATTGGAGGAAATGGTTTTAGATGAGAATGTCAATTAGCAATTGTTTAGTACTGACCTACTGAGAAGACATGACAAAATACAGGGACCACTTATGCTTTCACTTTGGCTTTTAAGAAACAAGCCTGAATGGACCTCTATACTGTTCTAATTCACTTAATAATTATGTGCCATTAGGGGAAGTTACTTAATTTCTCTAAGCTTTGGGTTCCTCATGGATAATTTGATAATCCAGGGATAGGTACCATCTCAAAGAGTTTTTGAGAAATTAACTAAAAACCCCTGGACATCACACCTGGGCTGTAATCGGAACTGAATGTTAGTTCTCTATCTCGAGTCTAAGGACCAGCAAAGTACCTGTTAAGAATTTAGCAGCAGTAACAACTGTCTATGCAAGTGCTGCCAGAGTGCTGAGGTTCAAGCTATGTGGAACAGGGACAGGGATGGCGGAGGATGTCAAGAATTTAGAAAAGCCCTTCCCCTCTTCCAATTCCAAGACCCTTGCCCTCTTTAATTATTGTTAAAAACATAACATCTCCTTTACCAATTTAGTTGCCAAAAAGGACACAGTTGGCTCACTGATAGGACAATATACAAAAATTTAAAGCAATTAGAAACAGTTAAGAGTTAGGAAACAAATAAACATTACAGAGATATGTTCTGGTCTAAACACTGCTATTTAATCATTTTTTGAAGTAAGTGGGATAACAACTTAAAAATAGGTGATATTTTGCAGAGGTCCTTTCTATAAAGGGCCAGATAGTAAATATTTTAGACTTTGCACCAACCTGGTCTCTTCTGAAACTACACAACTTTATAGTGAGAATGCAGCCATAGCAATTGGTAAACAAGTGGGTGTGGCTGTGATAATACAACTTCTTTTATAAATTGGATGAATTTTACCATGGACTGTAGTTTGCCAACCTTTGATTTATTCCAGAGCTGGTAGAACTTGAGCCAGAAATCACATTAGAAATCTGCAAAGCAAAGTTTAACCATACTTGTGATTCTATAGGAGCCCTGGTGTATAGTGTTTAAGTGCTTGGGTAACAACTAAAAGGTTGACAAGTCTACTTTTGTAAAGATTATAGCCTTTTGGAAACCCTATGAGGCAGTTCAACTACCATACAGGATTGTTTAAAAATTGGAATTAACTTGATGGCAACGGGTTTGATTTCTAACTTTAAAAACTAGTTCTAATGTAAGATGTACTTGCACTAGTTAAAAGAACCATATACTAAAATTCTTGTTTTACACACTTCCATATATAAAGTGTAGATAAATTTATCAGGTTATATTATTCAAGATAACAGAGTAAATTTAGTAACTCACACCAAACTACTGTACTTAAAATCACTTACCCACTGGATATGTTCTGCAATTAGGCAGCCAACGACTTTTTTGTCATTGGAAATAAAGAGAAGCGTTTTAGTTCTGGAATAGCACATCAGTGGAGCCTGCTGGAAACCTAAATCATTATCAACCATCTCTCTAATTTCGTCAACCTGCCAAATAAAGAACAATATTTGTTTAATAATGAAAGCATTGTATTATGTGTGTTTGCGTGTGTGTCACATACATAATGTACTACTTCATTTGAGTATATTATCCCAAACAGAACCTATAAAGAGTTATTTTGAATAACCAACTGAGGGGTAATCAATAGCTGTTTTGTTTTGAATTTTAGCCCTATAGAGGACTTTGCAGAATGGAGGAAGAAGTGATGCCATGCCCAGGTTTTCATTTACAGTCTGTGAGTCCTAACAGACTCAATGGCAATGGATCTCCCTTTACCACCAACCCCCGCCACCCCACCCCCCACTTTGTGGCTTGTAAGCAGTGAGAGGTAAGAGTGACTACTACAGAAAGATGACCTTAATGCATCCCATTAAAAGCATCATAGGTTTGTAAATTAGAGAGAACCTCACTGAAAACAAGCCACTCTCCCCATCTAGGATAATTAGTATTCTCATCAGCAAAATAAAAGTTACTAACATTTCTCTAAAAATTATTATCAACAAACCATCGGTAAACCTAACAAACGAACCAATGATGATACAAATAACACACATTAAAAATTAAATGGTCAATGTCATAAGAGAACCAACTGAAACAAAAGTGTTAGTTTCAAGAAGAAAAACATGTTTTGGAACTGATCATGGTAGCAATTGTACAATAGTGGTTGAGGTGATGGAACTATGGAATGTTATGATATCTGTAAAATCTCCCAATAAAAGGATTTTTTTTAAGTAGTAATAGGATACTATGAAGGACTATACTCCAACAAACTTTAAAACCTAGAAGAAACTGACAAATCTCTAAAAACCACGACCTACCTAAAATAACACATACTGAGGTAGAAAATTTGAGGAGGTCCATGGTCCATAACAAAAGAAGAACTTGAAAAGATCATTAAAAAAGAAAATTCTCTCTCTCCCTCTGCCCAGACAGTTTCACTGGCAAATTCTACCAGACATTCAGAGAAGGTAGCACTAGAACATAGAAAAAGATGGAATACTCCCACACTCATTCTACAAAGCAAGCATAACTGATAAGGCCATGCAGACACCAATAAAAAAGAAAATTAGACATCCCTCATGAACATAGACACAAAAATTCTTTAGAAAATGGACTCAACAATATCTAAAAAACAACAAACAAACATCATGACCAAGTAAGATTCAGGCCAGGTATGCAAAACAATCAATGTAACCCATATATAAATAAAATAAAGGAAAAGAACCATATAATACCAATTGATGCTGAAATGAACTTGATAAATCCAACACCCATTCCTGATTTTAAAATTTTTCAAAAAATTAGAATAGAAGGGTAATTCCTCAACATGGTTAAGGACATATACAAAACCAACAGCCACCAAACATGTCAAATGAAAGCATTCCCCTTGTGAACAAGACTATACAAAGATGTCCTTTGTCGTCATTCCTATTCAATATTGTATTAGAAGTCCTAGCCCTGGAGCCACAGTGGTTAGGAGTTAGGCTGCTACCTGCAAAGCCAGCAGTTTGAAACCACCAGTAGCTCCTTGAGAAAGACATGGCTTTCTAATTCCGTAAAGAGTTAGTCTCAGAAATCTACAGGGCCAGTTGTCCTGCCCTATAGCATCACCATGAGTCAACCCTTCAACTCGGTGTCACTGAGAGAGAGCCAAAGCACTAAGTCAAGTGAGAGCAATAAAAGGAATCCAAAATGGATAATAAGGAAGAAGTAAAACTAACTCTATTTAAAGATGATATGGTCTTATACATAGAAAATCCGAGATTAAATAAAATAGCTACAAAACAAGATGAATTCAGCAAGGAGTTGGATTCCTCTACACTAAGCAAAGGGAACTTTTTAAAAAGTCACAATAACTATCTTTTACAGTAGCCACCAAAAAGGGGGAGAAAAAACACGAAATACTTAGGAATAAACATAACTAGAGACATAAAACATATACACATAGAAAGCTATAAGACATAAGAAATCAAAAGAGACCTACATAAATGCAAAACCTATCATGCTCACAAATAAGACAACATTGTGAAAACATTCATGCCACCCTAAGCAATCTCATATGTAATGAGTCCCAGATCCAGATATCACCATTCTTCAAAGCAATGGGAAATTAATCATCAAGTTTATAAGGAAAGAAAAGAAGATAAATGGAACAGAATCAAGAATCCAGACAAATTTATCTATGAACAGTTGAACTTTAGCAAGGCATGCCCATTAACTGGAAAAGAGACAAGTCTAGCAAAAATTTATGATAAAACTGGATACTCATTTACAGAAAAAGGAATCAGAACTGCTGTCTCACACCATGTAGAACGCTAACTCAAATGAATCAAAGCACTAAATATAAAACCTCATAACATGAACGTACCTGGAAAGTATGCTAAGTGAAATGTTCCCCCAAAAAAGAAATATTCAATGACAAAAGGAGAAATATTTTATGAGACCACTATTTTTAAAAGTTTTTGTGGCTACCAGAAATGAGAGAGCAAAAAAGTGTAAAGCACTAACTAGAGCGTAGATAACACATTAAAAGAAGGAAAACAACATTGAGGAGGCAGCACAGTAAGACCGATGGCAAAGGAAATTACTGGGAGGTGCACAAGAGTAAACGCTAAACAAGGGTGAATACTATTCATGCAATCATACAATAATAGTCATAATAAGCAACATTATTATAGGTAAGCATGCAAGTAGAACAGATGTAAGAAGGTGAATGGGAAAATACATAAGAGTAATTAAAGGTTTGTCAGAGGTATTTCTCTATGTGTTTTGTATGAACTGTACAACTATACAAAGAGCTATATAGCATAAAGTTCTAAAAATTCTTAGTCACAACCTCATACCCAGGGGGGAACAATTCACTGGGTTTGGGGATTTAGGGCCAGAGTCTCTGGGAACAAGTAGGTCAATTCACACAACATAGTCCCCACAAAGACAATGTCCCACATTCTACTTCAGTAAGTAGTCACTGAGGGCTTCAAAGCGTGCAAGTGGCCATCTAAGGTATGACTATCTGTCCTCTCTATTTGAAACAAACGAGAGTAAAGAAAAAGACTCAAGGAAACAATTAGTCCAAAGGATTAACAGACCACATGAAGAACCACAGTCTACTACCCAGAGACCAGAAGATCTAGATTAGGGGTCTCAAACTTTTTAAACAGGGGGCCAGTTCACTGTCCCTCAGACCCGCTGGAGAGCCGGACTATAGTTTTAAAAAAACTATGAACAAATTCCTATGCACACTGCACATATCTTATTTTGAAGTAAAAAAAAATGGGGCAAAAACACCCGACGGAACATAGTTTGAGGACGCCTGATCTAGATAGTCCCAGGCTATCATTCCAAAACACCCTGTTCAGGATCACAACAGAAGTCCTAGACAGAAATTGTGTGTGTGTGTTTGGGGGGATGGAGGGGGGGGGGTAGATGTAGTAAAACAAAATTTTAAAATATTAAAAAAGCTTCATGATTAATAAATGTGTATGATACGTGGATTGTGTGCCAATAAAACTTTAAGTAAATTTAAGACCAGACTTACAAGTCTGACAAATACTTATGCAACCCCCAAGCAGTACCCTTTGACACCCTTGAAGCTTGAAACTGAGCCTACTCCTAGGATCAACTTTTAGGCAAACAATGGACATACCTATAGAGTGAACAATACCACCAAGGAGGAATATACTCCTAAGGTAGTCAACCACATGAGAATAAAAAAGCAGCATTTGCCCAAAAGTTCAGAAGACAGGAAAGCTGGGGAAATGGAAATGGTGGATTCGGGGAGGAAGTAGAAAAGATGCTGTTCCAATAAGGTGGTTGCAACTAGTCACCAAATAATTTGTGTGTGTATATATATGAGCTACTGAGTGGAAAACTAATTCATTTTCACCTGAACTACAATAAAATGTAAAAGAGGTTTACAAAGTGGCTAACAGCAAGAAAGTCATGTTAACTTTTTAAACAACCATCTCTGGGCCAGACATTAGGAAAAGCACTTTACAAATACTATTTCATTTAAATTCAACAACATCTCTTGTAAGTTTATGGTTCCTCCCCTTATATACAGAAGAAATAAAATGCAAAGATTAGGTAACTCCCAATATCAAACATCTAAGAAATTGGGTAACAAGAATTTGATCCATAATATTAATGTGTCATCAAACTGTGCTTATTCTAGTTTTAACAGTCTAGATTTGTGCTCAAAGTCAAATAAGGCTGCTGATCTTCGTTCAAACTCGGTTTAAAAATGCAGATAACCCTTAGGAGGATTAAGTATTCATATCTCTGACATAATAGTTTATACAATTAATAAATAAAACGGAAATCTCACAATTCCTGAATCAGCATCCCACAATACAACTAACTCCTCAATCAGTCCAAATGACTTAGAACCCCTAGATTTTCATTTTTAACTTATATAATGGGTTACACCATTAATCTATTGAATTATAGGATACTAAGATTTTGCCAAGAAACTAAAAGAAATCATCACTGAGGATGCTTAGAGAAAAGCCTGGCTTCTTCTTATGGAGATAAAGCAAAGTTCTCTCCTCAGTTATTTCTACAGACTCTAAAAACTTTAATAACCAAATTTTCATCTAGTCAATCAACGAGCCAACATTGATTCAACGTGTGTGTGGCGCGCTAGGACAAGTGTTTCAAATATGAGATGTGCTATTTGTAATTAGGCCCTTATAAGGGCAACTGTGTATAGGCAGTGGCAAGTCTTCAAAAAATTCCTGGGAAAACTCTATTATCTATGAATTCCATTTTTCTCACAAATTTAAAAGTTTCCTTGTCTGAAAAGTAAGGAACCACAGGATATATTTATGTTTTAAATAGAATGTTAACTACATTTTAAGTTAACATGAAATGCTTCTGAAAAAGGACTTATGCTTTTTGAAGAAAAACATTGAAATTATTTTTAATGAAATTATTTAAAAAGTTTAATGTACAAAAAATGTAAACATTGCCTACAGTTCAACAAAGACAAAACTCCAATTTCATAAAGGGGAAAGAACTTAGATTTTCCAAAGAAAATATACAAATGGCTAATAAGGCCATGAAAATATGTTCAACATCATTAGTCAATAGAGAAATGCAAATCAGTATCACAATGAGAAACTACTTCATCTCTACTGGGGGGATTATCATCAGAAAAATGGTAACTAAGTTATGGTGGAACTTCCTGTATTACTGATGGAAATGGAAATGCAGGAGCTTATGGAAAACTAATTCGTTTTGAATTTGGCAAGTTCTTGAAAAAGTTAAAACAATTACTGTATGACTCAGCAATTCTACTCCAAGGTATACAAGGAAAGTAAAAAAGTATTGCTACCATGGTTCCAGTTCATACATGCACAGGTTAACTCCAAACAACAGGTTTATGCAGGGTATAGTGCAAATAGCGTACTCCATACTAAACCTTTCTATCTACGGGAATAAGCAGCACAGCATTACTGCTGAGATTTTCCCTCCAAATGACAAGCAGTTTTTTTACTCAGTTGAAGAGGAATATAATGGTGGTGTGTATATAAAATAAGGAACTGGAGGAAAAACAGTCTTTATAGGACAAGATGTTGCCTATAATTAAGAAGAAAGTGAGGAAGTTGGAAGATCAGAATGGGTTTGAATTTCGTGGCCTTTGGAAAGACATCACTTTTAACTTAATCAGATTCATTGATGCAGCAACTTTAGCAAAGGATTCACCTGAAGATCTACAAAGAGCAGAAGCCTGGGAAAGGAAGAAGGAAATTGCATGGGAGATGAGTTTATTTCATGAAGAAGGAGCATGTTGGGTTTCTGATGAACCATTTCTGAAACCCGTGGGGGCTGCCAAGCATTAGACTGGGAAATGTGAAGCTAACCCACGACAATCAAGCAGTAGACAGCACGAAGCAGCAACCGTTCCTCCTTTGGGAGAGTCTGTTTACTCTCTTCTATTGTAGTGTTTCCTATATGGACTTTCCAGTGCAGATAAACAATTAAAACAAGAAAAGGTTTCCTTTTTTCGTTTCTGAAGGCAGTTACAATTTTGCCTTCAGTCTTTGAAAATAAGCATTCTTCAAATCCCACACTTTGAAAAACATTCATAATTCTGTCTCAAACTCTGCACACTAGTATTGCTATTGAGATACGTTTCCTACTCCATATAATCTTAGTTCTATATATGCACATACAAAAGATACGTGCATAAATATTCTACTGGAAATAATGTTTCCTTTATTCTACATTATCACAGTGTGTTAAATCAAGTGTTAGGAAAGTTTATACTCACCTATAAGTTTTATTTTGGAATTGAACTATTATTAAATTGTATCTAATCCTGGGGGGAGGGGAAGGTTTACAAATGTCTGAGAGATCAGTGATTGGCTGCAAACAAGTTCCCTGAATAACACTCTTGTCTTTTATGAGTTAGGGTGCCTGCAAAAGTAAGTCCAATTAAAAAAATGGCTTCTAGAGGGATCTGCTGGGCCTATGTTATTCAAGGCAGAGAAGTCAACGAAATCAGAAAGTAAAGGTGTTTTTTTTTTCTTTTTGGAATCCGAAGAGGTATTATTGACAGATTTTCTTAAAGGACACAGGACCATCACAGGGGCTTTGTTATGGAGAAGTTTGAAGAAAACTTCAAACTACATTAATGAGAAAAAGGATAAGAAAGTTGCACTGAGGAAAATTTTCTATTATAACAATACTTCTGCTCATTTCTCAAGGGTAGGAAGGGTTCTTATCTACCCTCCAGCCCAGATCTTGTCCCTTTAGACTGCTCAAAAACTCAAGAACTTTAAGAAGAGCATGATTTTAATTCCTTAAAGATGCCAAAGCTGTTTTGATGTAGTATAAATCAAAGAGCACCAAATATTTCAGGAAAAGATTGAGAGGTAGCAACACTGCTTTCAGAAGTATATACACCGAGGTAGAGGATATGTTGAGAAACAAAGCTTCACATTTTGATATTTTAGTAAAGGTTTCTAGCCTTCTGTAGCAATACTTTGACTTACCCTCATATACCTCAAAGAAGTGAAAACAGGACTCAAACAGATGTATAAATATCAATGTTCACTGCAGCATTCACAATAGCCAAAAGGTAGAAACAACCAAAGGTTCATCAACAGAGAAAACGTTATGCTAAGTGAAATAAGTCAAATACAGAAGAATAAATATGTATCATCCCACTTACATAAAATTATCAAATAAGCAAATGCATAGAGTCATATGTTTATTAGTTTATTAGCTAGGGGAGAGGAAAAAGGTGCTATTAGTTAAAGGGTACTGCACTTCTACATGGAGGAATAGAAACCTTTTAGAAACAGTGGTGACAGTTGTACCACGTGGTGAGTTTAATGGTTATCAATAAATTTATACTTAAAATGGTAAGCTTTGGTTATATACATTAAGCTTATACTATAGCTGACTTTTTTTTTTTAAGTTCTTGACTTTTAAGGTACTCCATATAACGAAAAGCAGTCCTGGTAAAATAGTGGTTATGCGTCAGGCTGCTAACTGCAGGATTACCAGTTCCAAACCACCAGTTGCTTTACAGGAGAAAAACCGGGCTTTCTATTCGTATAAAGAGTTACAGTCTCTGAAACTCATGGGGCTATTCTACCCTGTCCTCTGGGGTTGCGATGAGTGGAAATCGACTCGATGGCATACTTTGGGTCTGAGTTTCTGACATCATGAAATGGTTCCAGGTTCCACTATCTCCTCGGCTCATGTTTCAATGCGATGAACTCTCTGAATTCTCAAATGATGGGCTAGACTGAAACAGTTCAAATTAAACGTGGAATTTTTTTTCGTTTTCTATAGTTTACTTATGAAATATTAGATTCTCTCTTCTTTATAATGTCATGTTTAAAATTTCAGGGTTTTGTGATCTAGAACTGTGTTTCTTGAAGTTAGGTTTGATTAATTCACATATTCACAATTACGTTTCAACCTTTAATTTTCTAGTTTTCAATGACTTTAACTATTCATAAATTTAACTAATGCCTTCTATTTGATCATTGAACTTACTGATAATACTTAACAGTAATCAATTTACATAAAATACAATTCATTTATGCTAGACTCACACTACAAAGTTTAACAGTTTTTATAATTATTTGTATCTCTAAGATGCTTATTTCTTATTTTAAGATTTGATGTTTAAATGTGCTATACCAGTATTACTGAATCGGAATCACAAAAAAGACTATGAGGGGGAAGAGTACAAGTCTTTCACCTGTACTATTACCTAACTATAATACTTTAGCCTAAGTAATTAAGTACCATATATACTCACGTATAAGCCAACCAGAATATCAGCCAAGGCACCTAATTTTACCACAAAAACTGCATTAAAAATGTGCTGAAAAACTCAACTTATATAAGAGTATATATGGCAAGTAAATGTTATCTTCTTAAAATCTTTTGCAAATTTCATGCATTCTACATAAAATTTCATTGGAAATTTACCTTTTTTAGGGCATACTTTGGGTCTTCAGGAAGAACCATTATAATCCTTCCATCAGGGTACTCAGCCAGAATCCTTTCTTTTTTCCAGCCCTGCATATTTAAAAAAAGTGAATTTTTGCGTATTTTATTATATTCAACATATCCATTTGCAAAAGAAAAAGTACATATTTATCTAAAAATTTCAAAAATAGAAAAACATCTTAATTGAAGTTTAATAAGGCATGTAAATCAGCTACTTTGTTAGGCATATGATTAGAAATAACACAAATTTATTTCCTATTATTGTCCGTTCAGAGACACATCTAATACCACAGAATATTTCTAATTATCACGTCCCATTTTATACTAATTTTGAAAAGTCACACACCAAAAAGCAAGCCCCTTAGTCAATGATTCCCAGAACCTAAAGGATAACTCTCCCAGATTCGTGTTAAAAGCATTAAACTTTTTGAGTTCTTTGGAACATGGTTACCTCCACAAACACACACTCAGGGTTTTAAGTCTGGCATGCCAAAGACCTCCAGGAGGTTTTAAATGAACTGATTTGCATGCAGTAGCCCAATATATAAGGAAGAGTTTTAATTCTTATTGACCACAACTATCAAAGTCACAAGGAGACTATAAAAAATATAACTACCTTCTAAGAATCTAAAGGGAAGGAGAGGCTACGTTGTGTGTATCTGAAGTTTAACATACTCAAAAAAAGAGAGGTAATAAACTCTTCTTCAGATCCACACTCGTGGTGATTAATGAGCAGAACCTGCATGAAAAAAACAAAACAAAAGCCACTTAAATCTAGTAAGATGGGACTGAACCAGAGGTTAAAACTAGGTGCTTCGAAGTTCAAAGTAAGTACAGAAGGAATGAGCTTAACTGGTTGTTTGTTCTCTTTGTCATACCCAAGCATCTTTACATAAAAACGCCTCTCAAAAAAACAAAATATAAACTTCTATTAGAGAAAACCATTCATGTTTTTCTGAAATGTTTAAGAATATAAAAGTCCAATAAAATCAAGAAAACTTGTTTTTATTTTTTAAATACTTTGTCAAGTTGGAAAGGTGGTTGCTGTGAGTTTTTTGGTGCTGTAAAATATATTCATTTTCACCACGAAATTGTTGTAAAAATTTCTTGAGAGAATTTACATTATTTCTAAAGTGTACAAAGTATAGAGATGTTTAAAAAAAAATCCAGAATGATTTTGGGGGAAATTTTTTGGCAGGAAGGTCACCGTAATTGGGACTAAAAGACTCCGCAATAATCTTGGGCCGTTATAATAATCTGGATCCAGATCTTTAAAATCCAAACTTTGTTTACAAAATAGAGCAATTAATGGTAAAGTAAGGTTCTGTTAGCATTAATAATTATCAGTAAACTGCTCTCAGGATTTTAAAAGAAGGGAAATAATTACTTTTTTCCAACTAGAAAATAAGTCTGAGTTCTATACAGATTTAAATAAAGGCAAACAATTTTGAAAGGCATAAAAAGCAAATCTCTTTAAAAACAAATTTGTATTAATAAATTACTTTCTAGAAATGCTTATTTAAATGAATCTATTTTTCCCAAAATACTTTTCACCTTAAAAATGTAACTATAAAAGAAAATAGAGGAAAGGACTAGGAGGCAAAAGACATTTATAGAGGTATAAATATAGGCATGTATATATGTAAATAAATTAATACATAACGATAGGGATATAGGTCTGTGTACATATATTTATATGTTAAGTATTAAGGTAGCAGACGGACTTTGGGCCTCTACTCAAGTCCTCCCTCCCTCCCTCAATGCAAGAAAACTTTGCTCTAATACCCTGGCATTTTGTGATGCTCACCTCCCCAACCAATCACTGAAGACAAAATGGGTGAATAAGCAAATGTTGTGAAGAAAGCTGATGGTGACCGGCTATTACAAGCTATAGCATCTGAGGTCTTAAAGGCTTCAAGTTAAACACGCAGCCATCTAAGCAGGAAAGCAACAAAGCCCTCATGGAAAAAGCTCACCAGCCTATGGGATCACGAGGTGTCGATGGGATCAGGTATCAGGCATCAGAAGACCCCAAACAAACAATCATGTCAATGCAAACAAGGGGGGTGAAAGTGGAGCCCCAAAGCCCATCTGTAGTCAACTGGACATCCCAACATCCCCTCACAGAAGTGTCACAAAGGGGCAATCAAGCCAGGTTGCAGTATAGCACCGAGGAAACATACAACATTCCTCTAGATTTTAATGCTTCCTCCCCCCATTATCATGACCCCTGTTCTACCAAACAAATCCAGCTAGACAGGAGCATGTGCACTTGTACAAATAAGAGCTCTCTACATACGAATCCATGACAGATCAGGAACAGTAATGGGAATAATGGGAGTAGCCATACCATGAAGGTAGGGAGAAGGTGGGTGGATAAGGGGGATAAAGGGGTAACCAATCACAATGATTGATATATAACACCCTACCCGACCCCTAGGAGACGAACAACAGAAACGTGTGAAGGGAGACAGCGGATGGTGTAAGATATGAAATAATAATTTATAATTTATCAAGAGTTCATGAGGCTGGGAGAAAAAAAAAGAGGAACTGACTCAAGGGCTCATGAAAGAAAAAAAATGTTTTGAAAATGATGAAGGCAACATATGTACAAATGTGCTTGATCCAACTGATGTATGGATTGTTATAAGAGCTGTAAGAGCTCCCCAAAAAAACGATTTATTAAAAAACTAACTATAAATCTAAATACTAAAAATTTACATAACCTCAAATTACAAGAGTCATCTTTCCTGAATTGAATTTCCAAATGACAACTTGTTCTCCTCCTATTACACTATAGTGATAGGGGACTGGTTCCAGGACCCCAGCAGAGACAAAGATGCTCAAGTCTCTTATATAAAATGGCAAAATATTTGCATATAACCTTTGCATCTCTTCGGGTGTATTTTATATTGCACCACAGGCACTACACAAATTCTTTTATTTTATTGACTGTTTAGTGTGGCGCCTTCTCTCCACACAAAGTAAAACTAACATGTCCATGCAGAAATTGTTACCACAATCAGAATTCTGTTTTACATCTGATTTTTTTTTCATGTACAAAATAAAAGACCACCATAACTAATCAGAAGCAATTGTGACAGGCAGAGTTACGAAGGCTTATGTTTCCAATGTTTATGAAGGCGGTATATTTTAGTAAAAACATTTTAAGATTTCTGGAGGATGTTCACAGTTTAAATCCTCATTTATTATTATAGTAGTTATTAGTTGCATGGCCTTGGATAAATCAGTATAACTGATTCTGTTTCCTGATGTATAAGCCAAATCAAAACCACTGATATCACATTGATTGCGAATCATAATAACTCTGTAGGTCAGAGTTATTATCATAATAACTCTGTAGGTTAGAATAAAGTTGTCCCCTTTCTACAGGAACAGAAAGCCTCATCTTTCTCCCGAAGGACATCTGGTGAGTTCGAATTACTAACTTTGAGGTTAGCAGCCCAATGCATTAAGCAAGAGGGCATCAGGGCCCCTTCCTGGTGTATAAAATTCACTTCTATCATTTGGTAGTTAAGAATGTTATATTTAAGATGATTTCCCAGATGGCCACTTGATAACCTTTTATAACTTCCTACTAGTATATTAAATTACTATCAATGTACTAAGGTAGCAAACTAGTGAAACAAGAAAAGTCCCCAAAGATAAATACAATAAAATCACATCAAGTGACAAAGCAAAGATCAATGAACTAGGCAACAGAGGTAAATTCTATTATATACACAAACCTGTATATACAGTGATCTATACGTAGATGCAGGGATATAAATGCAGGCTGAACAGGTGTGAAAGGAAGATATATATATAAAGAGAATATTCATGCATGTGTGTTTATTTACCTTTGCTACATATATCCACAAATGTGGTAAAACATACAATGACATGATTATATAAACTTCTTAGAAAACAAAACACCTTGCGGGAATGAGTCACAAGAATTGGCTCAGGAGAACAGTTTGGGGTCAGCTAGCATAAATAGCCCACACAAAAAAAATATTCTACATCCCACTATGAAGAGTAATGACCTGGGGTCTTAAAAGTTTGCAAGTGGTCTCTCCCCATCCAGAGCAAAGTGGGGGAAATCACATACACATGGAAGTCATTAGTTCAATGAACTAAAAGAACACTCAAACATCAGTCACTATGACCCTGAAACAGCAGAACTAGATAGTGCCAAAGCACTGTGGGCAGCTTTGAAAAGAATCATATTTGAAGTTCCTAGATAGAGTGGAAAAAATTCAAAATCACAAAAAGACTATGCTTACTGGTCAGATATAGACCACTGGGGCCACCAAGATATGGAAATGAACTCACCCCATGGTACAATTTTCAGTCAAGCAATAGATAAGTCCATAAGAAGTACAATGATATACTAAGGAGGTATATGTATGCCTTAGACTAACCATTTGGGATTAAATAGAAGGATTTATCCAAGGACAAAGTTCACAGGAACAGAGGTGGAATGGAAACAGGAAACACAGAAGAAAGCAGAGTAAGTGATGGTACATTTTACAGATTGCAATAAATGACATGAATCAAAATGTGTAAGAATATTGAATGGAAAACTGATTTGCTCTGTAAACCTTCACCAAATTCACAATAAGTTTAAAAAGTTAAAAAAAAAGTTATAGCTGTAAATCTGACAAGCAAATGTTTACACCAATTGCTCAGTGTGCATTTGATTTCCTGTTTCGTTTGCGTATTTTTACTTTCTTCATGCTTCAGTATACTAAAAGTTGTAACTAATATTTAAGACCAATTCCAGGAGCAATAAATATTATGAGTTATATCCCCCCACCCACACACCATCGAGATCCCAATTCTACGTTACAAATCTGGCTAGACCAGAGGATGTACACTGGTACAGATAGGAACTGGAAACACAGGGAATCCAGGACGGATGATCCCTTCAGGACTAGTGGTGTGAGTGGCGATACTGGGAGGGTAGAGGGAGAGTGGGTTGGAAAGAGGGAACCGATTACAAGGAACTATATGTGACCTCCTTCCTGGGGAACGGACAACAGAAAAGTGGGTGAATGGAGACATCA